ATAAGTGTTTTGCCCACATGCATCCAAGTGTACCCAGGAGTGCAAAGCCTACGGAGGCCAGAAGAGGGCATCATATCCTCTGGAATTAGAGTTATAGGCAGTTGTTAGCTGCTATGTGGATGGTGGGAACAGAATCTGGGTCCTCCGCGAGAGCAGCCAGTGGTCTTAACCACTGAACCATCTCTCCAGCCCCACTTCCAGACTATGTTAAACATCAACAGTCAGTCCCCCATCCTAGGTCCCGGCAGTGAGGAGCCTGCTTCCTCTCTCTAGACTGACTTGCCTGCTCTGCACACTGCATAGCACTGGAATCACCAGCCACATCCGCCAGGATCATTCATGTGGGGGCATGACTAAACACTTCTTTGTGGTGCTGAATATGGAACCCAAGGAGCTTGCACATACTAGACAAACCCTCTGACACTGAGCCCCACCCCCAGCCCCTCAGTGGTGGATTCTAGACAGGCGCTCTACACTGACAACCAACATCCTCTTCTAGCCTTTGCACACACATACATCATAAACAAAAAAGAGATGTTTAGGACGGGGGTTCCAGACAGAATTAATGAGTAACAATGATCCACCCTAAAGATGGGTGGTACCCTCCAACAGATTAGTGTCCCAGGTGAGAAGTCACAGGAAGGCAGCAGGCATCCCCCCCACCTCACAGCCCCTCCTCTGAGTGAGCATGTCTGTTGCTGCTGCTACTGTCTGGACATCAGACTCCAGCTTCTTTAGTCTTTCGGCATGTACTCAATACCAGCGACTCTCCAGAGTCCTTCCAGGCAGTACCGGACTGGGACTGCTGAGGAATCAATTTCCTGAGTTGAGCAGCTACCTGGTTCTCTGCCACTCCAGCATGCAGGTGACCACTGCTGGGCTTCCCAGCCTGCCATATAAACCAATCCAGCAGATCAGCTTTTATGTTTTATTTAAAGATTGATTTATATTTTGAGTGTTTTGCTTGCATGTATGTTAAGTGTACCATATGTGTACAGAGCCTACAGAGATCAGAAGAGTCAGATCCCCTGGAACTGGAGTTAGGGACAGCTGTTAGCCACCATGTGGGTTCTGGAAACTGAATCCAGGTCCTCTGCAAGAGCAAAAGTGCCCTCAACAGCTGAGCATCAAACTAGACCACCCAATCAGCTTTTATAAAATATTCCATCAGCACCATCCTTCTAGATAACTGAATACAGGAGATACACACCAATTCCTAAAATTCCCTCAAGGAACCTTTGCTACTGTCCCATGGCAATTTTCTTAGCTTCTTTAAAATGTGTGAGTGCACATGGGTTTGCACACGTATGGAAGCCAGAGGTTGATATGGAGTGTGTACCTCCACTTTACTTTTTGAGACAAGCTCTCTCACTGAACCTGAAGTTCAGCCTTGTCAGAACTGGCTGTCCAACTCCTGGGATCTACCGACTCTGCCCCCCCCAGCACTGGGATTATAGACACATGCGGTTGTGCCCAGCTTCCTACATGGCTGCCAGGTCCAAACTCAGGTCCTCATGTATGTGCAGCAAGCACTTTACAGATTGGACCATCTCCCCAGCCCCACTTGACCTCTCTTTAATGGTGATAATCTCTTTATGGCCGCTTTCTACAGCTCTGAGTGAGTGTCTATCTGGTTAACTGCATACTTTTCACACATCTTGCTGATCTTTTTCCTCCCAGTTCTCATTATAAACCTGGGTATAGGTAGTTAGCAATAACCATGCCACAGCCCAAGTGCTGGGCTGTCTTGAAATTTCCCCACCAACTTAATTAGTCCATGCCCTTTGAGCCTTACTCAAACCTTCAGAACACTGATGGAATATGGACAGATCTTTCAATACTCATTTTTATTTTTGTGTGCACATACATCTATGCAGGTGCAATTGCGTGCAGAGGCCACTTGAGGGCAGGGTGTCCTGCTGCACTTGGGGCCTGCATTTTTTTCACTTAGGCTGGAAGCCAGCAAGCCCAAGCAATCATCCTCTCTCTACCCTGAGTGATGCTGGGGTTACAGGCACATGCACCCTGCAGGTGCATACAGGACACCCTGATTATTACGGGGGTACTGAGATTCGCACTCTGACCCTCATAATTGCACGGCAAGTTCTCTAAAACACTGAGCCATCTTTCCAGCCCTTCTAAACATCTAATTCAACTGACAACTGAGACCAACCACCACACTGTTTTATCACAAGTTCTGAGGTATAAAATGGAAACAGCAATTTCCTTGAAAAGAGGGAGGCAACAGGCTATCTAAGGAAATGATTTCCCAGGCTTGGCTGCCCCAGCAGAGTCTTCTACGGCTGTGGGTCCAAGGGGCCTGGTCACTGCCCTACCTGGCAGCAGAGCCTGGATCATGACATGGTGCTGATTTTGTAGGCATACAAAATGCAAAGGTTAGAGGGTCACGGAAGCTTCCACCATTCTAGAGAACAGCCTGGGAGGGCACGCAGTGCATGGCAGGGTCAGATTTCCTGCAGGGAGCCCCAGAGGGCAGCATGTGAAGCTGTGAGCTAGCAGACTTGGAGATTAGAGACATAAGCAATGTGGACATCTACTGAGATGTGCTATGGGCATCAAGTGGGAACAACAGAGGCTGTGTGGGCTGCAGACAGGAAGGTCATCTGGGCAGCGCTGCCCAAGTGGAGTTCACAACACACCATCCTGTGCCCCAGGTGCTAGATGCAGAGCTACGGGGTCTCCTGTTTGCTCAGCTGGATTCTGGTCCTGCTTTCTACACCTCCATTCCTCAGTTTGGGACTCGGAACCTGTTGGGGACCCCTGCTGTGTAAGGTAGCAGTCTCTCCATGTCTGGATAGCCCAGGGGGCTCGGAGTTCATATGCAGAAACTCCTTTTATCAACAGGGCACCTTCCTACTCTCTTCCTGACTCACCTTTTGAAGTGGCTGCCACAGATGCCCTACCAAAAACATGGCCTCTGGCTCTGAAACCGCCAGGTTTTCCTGTGTGATTTTCAGACAATGTCTGGCAGCCTGGCAGAAGCCCACCACCACATGTAAATAGGGCATCCTAAAAGCACCTATCAATTAAGGCTTTTGCCACTGCCCCCACAGTATAAAATATCCTGGTTTCCCCTAATTAATCGGAGCTGAATCACTAAGACCTGGAGCCGAGCTGAGTCACTGAATAAAGAAGCTGTACCTGACTGAGCTGAGTTCTGTGTCTTACTGCCTAGGATCCAGTCTTCCCGGAGAGAGCTGTCTCTTCGTAAACCACGACTCACGGAGACCCTGCTTTCGCCATCTCCGCACTTCCCACGAGATCCGGCGGCTGGTGGATCTCATACCTGGTGGATCTCGTACCTCGAGGGAGTGCTCGGTGGAGTTTGGGACGGAGCCCGACCCAGCGGCTGACAGTATCCCGCCAAAGGAGCCAGCCCTGGTAGCAGAGACCCACAGCAACGCGGTGCGGGACCTGCCACCACACCCAGCAGCTGGCGCTCCGTGAAACCCGCACGCCCATAGGAACCTGCTCTTGCGCCATGCGTGGACAGAACTTTCTGGTCTAGGTACTCCCAGCCGAGAGTGAGGCTTCTTCAAAGAGACTCAGCTATGAGCAACGTGGACTCTCCAGATTCGCTAAGTGCATTTTGACCAGGGGTGGTCAGGGGACTCTGGTGGTCAGGCATGATGGCATTATTACGCTTTAGCACAGGCTTGAGTACTTTCCCCTGCTGCTGGCACTGTTGTTGTGTGCATGGTGTGCATGGGCAGAGGTCAGAGACTCGTCATTTGTTGTCACTCTCCACCTTCTTTTGAGATGAGCCTCCCACTGAGCCTGGAACTACTTTGGCAGCCAGCTGCCCATCAGCTCCGGATAAGCCTGTCTGAGATTAGACACCTGCTGCTGTGCTACCCAGCTTTATGTGAGTGCTGAGGATCCAAACTCTGGTCCTCATGCTTAAGTACCAAACATTTTTTTGACTTTTGAAATAGGGTCTATGTAGCTCTGGCTGGCCTGGAACTTGCTATGTAGACCAGGCTGGCCTCAATCTCACAGAGAGCCACCTGCCTGGGCCTTGTGACACCATACTGTTAAATTTACTTTGTATGAGAGTTTTGCCTGCATGTATGTAGTGCCCTCCATGTGTGCAATGCTCATGGGAGGCCAGAAGAGGGAGTCAGATCCCCTGGAACTGTGTTATGGATGGTTGCTACCCACCATGCTGGGAACTGAACCTGGGTCCTCTGCAAGAGCCAGTGCTCTTAAACTCTAAGCCATTTCTCTAGCCCCAGCAAGCACTTTTTCAACTGAGTACCTCCTGGCCTCCTGCTGGCATTATTTTGGGAGGCTATAGAACCCTAAAGAGATGTGGGCTAGCTGATGGCAGAGTCTAGGTACAGGCCTTTTTAACTTACACCCAGTCTCTGACTCCTGCCCCTCCATTGTTTCCTGGTCAGTAGTGTTGAGAACAGTCTCTCCACACACTCATGATGGACCAAACCTTCTGAAGCCAGCAGCAGAGGCCAAGCTTCCTTCCCTTTAACTGCTTGCCAGGTACTGAGGTCTCAGGGATGCAGTAACCAACATGGGGTGGGGGGGTCCAACTACTCTACCAGGCTGCATGTCTGAAGGGACTGGGCTAGTCAGGGCACAGGGCCTAGATATGAGGAGCAATGCAGGGCAGGGCTGTGTGTGGGTGGGGAGAAGAGGCCAGGCAGGGACAGTCCAGGAGGCCCTCTGAGGAGAGGGTATGGCCAACAGAGACCCCTGAAAACTTCTGTGTACAGCAGGCACAGAAGGCTGTGGACTCTCTGGGAGTCTCCAATGCAGCCCACGATCATGTGAACATTAACCCCCATCCCTACAACCGTCAGAGACCTGTGTGGGAGGGCAAATATGGGTCGTAGATTGAGGGCACGATGGAGAGCTGCTAGGGTCTGGGATCCCACCCCTGGATTCTGGAGACACCAGCTGCCCATGCCACACCTGCAGGGCCCCTCAGGTTGCAGCTGCAGGATAGACACAACTGCTCTGGTGAAAACCAAGGCTGTGGCTTGTCCCACTGGGAGGCTTCAAAGGCAGACTGACTTTATTCACATTCACGCTGTCTGCACCAGGTGCTCCTGGGAGCATTGGCTCACAAGTGCTTCCTGCGGTGCCGCAACACCTCAGTGGGTGTGAAGAGGAAGTCCTCCCCGCAAGTCTCACAGTGGTAGGGCCTCTGCAGGGCCGAGGTCTTCTGCAGTGGCGCTGGAACGGCCTCCACCACCCCTATGGAGGGAAGGGACACTGTGAGCCGTGACCCCCCTGAGCACTCTGGCTCCCACCCAAGCCTGGGGCCTGTGGAGCTAATGATGTCCCAGCATTCAGTGCATCCAGTTTGGCTGAGGGGCCTGGGCCTTACCAGACTCCCCTAGCCTATAGCAGATGCTACAGCATAACCAGGGCAAAGAAAACAAGAGACAGCCAAAGAGACAGACACAAAAGACACACAGGGTGCTGGAGAGATGGCTCAGTGGTTAACACTGGCTGTTCTTGCAGAAGACTCAGGTTTGAATCCCAGGACCCACATAGCAGCTAAGAACTAACTCCAGTTCCAGAGGATCTGACAGCCTTTTCTATCTCCCTCAGGCATTGCAGGACACAGGTGCATTTATATACATGCAGGCAATACACTCATACACGTAAAATAAAAATAATAAATATTAAAAAAAAAAGAAAAGACACAGAGGAAAGGTAAAGAAACAACCTTCCAGGTCCTCCTGCCCTAACATGAGTCTTCAAGAACCTATATGATGAGTCTTCAAGAACCTATATGTGGAATGAGCCAGGCCCAGGGGCTGCGGCTGTTGGTCCCCAGCACCCAGCAACCCAACACAACACTGTAGATGGGCAATGCTGTGGGCATCATGGGGGCCTGGGGGCCTGACCCCTCCCTGTCCTTGCCTGAAGCCTGGTCCCGTGGAGCCTCGGGGCAGGTGTTCTCATGGGCGATGCGCTCCAAAGGCGTAAATGGCATATGCAGGCCACAGTACGGGCAGGTCCAGAAGGAGCGCAGACAGTCACTGTACAGGTCAGTGTCATTCTGCAGAAGAGCAAACGGCCATTAGGACCCAAGCCTCACCAGCTGGGAGTCTCCCAGCCCACTTGGGGTTGCAGGCCCATTCAGAAACCCTGGACTTGAATGAGGTAGAGGGCTGATGGGTAGGCATGGGGTCTCTGAAAACCCAAAACCCATGTCCTGGCAGGAGCTGAGGGCACAGGTGGTCGCACTCACTGTGAGGCAGTTGTAGGTGAGAAAGTCAGTGACTATGTAGCCCCCCTTGGTGGGGTGGGGAGACAGGGCACAGTTTCCAAAGAGACCAGGCAGACTAGGGGCAGTCGTGACAGTCTGGGGTCCCATATAGAGGTTCTGGGCTTCCAGACCAGTGAGCCGCCGTATGCTGTAGGGAACCTATGGAAGAAGAGACCAGCGACAGAAATGGAGAGGTGCACCCAGAGCCAGTTGCACCTGAAGGCCACCCTTGGACTCTAGGCATGGAACACTCACCTTCATGGTCTGGGGCTTGTCCAAAACACACCCCAAAGCCCCTTCGGGCTGCCCTCTTAGCCTCCCCTCTGCACCTTTTCACTGCTGAGATCACCTGTCCTTCCACACAGGGTGTGTGGCCTTTCTCTGGCTACCTGGGCCCCTCCTCACCTCCAGGAAGTCAGCCTGAATTGCACCAGACTCACATGAGGCAGAATCAGGAGCAGTTTCACGGCTGCCCCACCCAGCCCTTCCTCTCCGTCCTCCCCAGCAGCTACCCAGGGCCCCTCACACCCTGCATGTCCTTAGCTTGTGCTACACATGCAGCAGGTGCCTAGCAGACCACACAGTGAGTAGTACAGGGCAGTGGTTGGCAGCATGGCCTTTGAGGTCAGGCTCCTAGAGTCAAATGCTGTGACCTCGGGTATCACTGAGCCTTGAAAACCTCATATGTGCACCCACCAAGCACACTCGCCTGGCGACATGGTACCTTGGCTGCCATGAACTGCAGCAGCTCCCTGCTCAGGGCAGCCACCTCCTGGTGGCTGACTGCTGGAGACTCCTCTCCTTCCTCCTCTAGCCTCTGTCGCTGGGCCTGGTGGGCCAGCTGCCGGTCCAGGGCACTTTCCCACTGTGCACGGAGTCGCAAGGATGTCGCCAGGAGGCGAACCGCACTCTCACTGTCCAAGAGCTGTAGCTCCAGCCAGCTGTCAGCCACTAGGCGGGAGCAGTCACCATTGGTGTCAAGGGACCGGCTGAACAGCAGGAGGGACTGAAAGAGTCAGGGGGCAGGTGTCAAGGCAGATCAAGTCACCATCTGAGTCCCCATGTGGATAGGCTCCTGCCCAGCCATCATTCACACACATCCACCCGCCTGTCCATCCACCTCTCCATCCTCCTGTCCTCTGATTCACCTGCCCACCATCTACCTGTCCACCCAATGTCAGCACCCATCTGACCATTACCATCCACATGCCCCCTCTGACGGGCTCTCTGGTGTGGAGATACAGTGAACAGGACAAAGCTGGTCCACCCATCAACATTACCATAGAAAAGACAAACTAAAGCCCGAGGAATGGTGGGGTCACAAAAGAGGGAGCAGCTGCGCTTCGGAACAGCAGAGGCAGTAGACTGCTGGTGTGCACCTTAATCCCACCTTAACAAAACATGTCTAAAACAACATACACAGCCCCCCACACAAAACCCAGGATGCAGGGATGACAGACGTGCTGGGGAAAGACACCAGACACCTGTACACTGGCCTCTGACACGAGGGCAGGGCTGGAACAAGCTATGTGGGGTTTGGTGGTAATATCTGGGAATCCCAGGAGGGGCAAGGCTGGCCACATGTGGATGGATTGGGGTTGGAAATGGTACTAGAGGGTGCAGCAAACTATGCCCATTTGAGATTCCTCACCCTACACAAGCTGTAAGGATAAGCAGTGGAGGATCCAGATGGCAAACGTCTCCCTCTGCTGTCCTGCTGGTCGCCCATGCTGTCCCCTTACCTGCTTGCTTCTGCCTTTGAAGAAGCCCCAGTGTGTTGTTTCCCACCCATGAGCCCTGTCACTGTGTGCCCAGTGACCTACAGCAACAGTGACTGGTGCATAGAGGGCCACTGGCTTATAACTTCACGGATGTCAGAAGATCACACTCTCCTAAGGAGCCTGTGGTTTGTTTTTTGGTTCCCTTGAACAAAACCAAGGGAACAGTAGAGACATCAGCTGACAGGGAGGCCTCAGGACCTGGAGCTATGGTCTGCCACTACCTGTGTGGCTGGGTAGTGCCGCACCCTTGGTCTGCCTGTATTAAGTGAACACCTAGCCTGCAGAGGACTTACCACGGTGGGCCTGGGCTATGGTGGCAACTGTGGCTGGTACCAACACTTCTTGGTTACGGGCATGTGTTCAGGTATATCTGGCCCTGCCATAGACCAGCTACTAGCCCCCTCCTGGACAGCTAGGCTCGGCTACCCTCCATCACCTGCAGCAAAGACTGTCCCAGCTCAGCAGAACCCTCTGGGATCAGCTGCACTGGCCTCTCTGACCAGCCACACTCCATCCAGCTGTTCTCTGAGCACAACAGGCCCACAACTGCCTCAGAGGCCCTTTGCACATGCTGTCCACTAACCCTCCATCACCTGCAGCAAAGACTGTCCCAGCTCAGCAGAACCCTCTGGAATCAGCTGCACTGGCCTCTCTGACCAGCCACATTCCATCCAGCTGTTCTCTGAGCACAACAGACCCACAACTGCCTCAGAGGCCCTTTGCACATGCTGTCCACTGCTAAGCACAAATCCCTCAGAAGTTCAGGTAGGTCAGTTCACAGCAGCTGGAGCCCCCAGCTCCAGTCACGCCTCCCCACATCAGCCTATTCCCCACCCCCTTTTTTTTTTTTGAAACAGTCTCATGCAGCCCAAGCCAGCTTCAAATTTGTGATCCTCCTGCTGGGACTGGAGGTGTGCACATGTTCTCCCGGCTTCCACTGCAGGCATGGCATAGGTCTTGCTGCCCTCTGAACCCAGGCAGGGCAGGGCAGGGCCAGGCCGGGCCTTCCTCCCACTGTGCCACTGGGTTCTTGGTGCCGGGAGCAGTGCCTGGCACCAACAGACACTTGGCAAGTAACCATGGAACAGAGCCATGACTGAGACCCACCCACAGCTGCAGCCATGCCAGTGGGGGTGAAGGGCAGCTTCTTGGGGGCCTATGCATGCCCCACATCTGGGCAACACAGCTGTCCAACATAAGTCAGGGCAGAGCCGTACCTGCAGGGCCGGGATGCGGACGCAGTTCACCAGGTACGGCTTGTTGGTCTCCAGCAGAGAGACAAAGGCCAGGAGCTGGTGCTTGCAGCTCATTTTGTCCTTGTCATCTGAAAGATGGGAGAGGCCAGCTCAGGCCCCCCTATGCTCCCCCAAGCCCACTCATCCATTCCCCAGGCCTGATGCCATACACCAGAAAGCATGCTCATGGGGTGAGATGGCTTCCACTTACTGTAAATACTTTGCTGCAATCAGTATGAGTTTGACTAGTGTATGGTGTAAGGAACTTCCCTTCACCTCGGGATCATGGGCACTGTGGTGATGGTGATGCACAGTCCTTGTCATTAAATAACGTGCCTGCCATCTGCTTTAAAATTATCATCAAGGGGGGCTGGGGAGATGGCTCAGAGGTTAAGAACACTGGTGGTTCTTGCAGAAGACCTGGGTTCAAATCCCAGCACCCACATGGCAGCTAACAACTGTCCATAACTCTAGTCCCAGCGGATCCGACAGTTTCTTCTGTTCTCCGTGAGCACTGAACGACATGGGTACACTTACCTATTTTATTTATTATTTTTATTTTGTTATCTTATTTTTATTTTATGTGTATGTGTGTATTGCCTGCATGTAGGTAAGCTACCATGTGAGTGCTGGGATTCGAACCCAGGTCTTCTGCAAGAACCAGCGTTCTTAACTGCTGAGCCATCTCTCTAGCCCCAATAAAATATTTTTTTTAAAAAATACTCATCAAGGGCTGGTGAGATAGCTCAGTGTCTAAGGGTGCTTGCCACCAAGACTGATGACCTGAGTTCAAGCCCCAGAAGAGAACTGACCCCTGAAAGTTGTCCTCTGATCTCCACATGCATGCTGTGCCAGGTGTGTGCACACATACACACAATAGTAAAATAAAAAATAAAAAATTAAATGCTCCAGCAACAAAACAATTTTTTAGAAAAAAGAAAAATCAGTACACTACTCTAGTCAGAAAGTAAAAAGTGAGGGACCGGAGAGACAAGGGTGACAGACAGTAGCAGCTGCTGAGGCTGCATGAGGCACCAAGGGGCATCACCTGCTACTCACATTTTCAGATTTTCAAAAACAGAGAAGCTGAGGATGTAGTTGGGAGACAGAACACTTGTCTCACTTGTACAAGGCTGTAGGGCAGAACCCCCAGAACCACAGAGAGAGGAAGAGGGGAGCAGCACACAGGAAAGGAGGCCCATGACTGGGTCAGCAGAGAACGACCAGGGAGAGGTCCAAACTCTGTCCTGACTTTCCCCAAATGCTAAGCCTTGTCACCAAGAATCTGCCCCCCTAGGTCAGGCATGATATCTCATACCCAAGAAGGAGGGTGAGCGGGTTCCTGAGCTTGTAGCCAGGCTGCAGGGGACACAGGCTCAGTCCTCCTAGGTCCTTGCGGCCCTGCCTGCTTGCTCTCACACACCAAGCCCGCCAGACTTGCCCATTCAGAGTCCACAGTGAGAGGCCAGTCTGCATACAAGCCTTCCTCTAAAGACCAGCTGGAGCTCACGGGCCACTCAATCAGCATTACGCCACCTGTAGATGGCCACACTGGCTTGACCTAGCCAATAGCACAGAAGCTCAGTTCTGCATGCCGGAACCTGTGCCCCACCGAGCCTGTCCTGAAACCTCCCTCCAGAGCATGGCACAGGTGGACTGTGGGGAATGCCTGGGAGAGACTGAGCCTGCAGTGCCATGGTCCCTCGTGTCCCACCCAGGTCACTGCACCTTGGCTTCCTTCATGGCCCGAGGCCTCCTGCTGCTGTGTGTGTAACACCTCGGGGTTGTTGGCGAAGACGCAGGTGGGATGCAGCACGGTGCCCTGCTTGGCCTGAGTGTGGAAAATCTGCAGAGGCCAAAGGTGGGCACTGGGGCAGAGGCCCTTGGACCACCCAGTGCCCAGGCTCTTTCCTCCTCCCTCTGCCACATCTCCACTCAGATAACCTCATCCAGAAGTCTCCCAGACTCCTCCCCAAGCTGGCACTGACCACTGTCCAGCCCTCCCCCAGTCCTGTCCACTCTGGCTAGTGTATGTGTGAACAGCCTGTCTCTGCTGCAGTGAGCCTCCAGAGGGCAGAGCCAGGCTTTCTGTCATCACTGCACTTCCAGCACATGGCAGGTGTTAAGCAACAGGCTTAGAGACAGGAGAGAGAAGGGACCCCACCTGATCTGAGTCCTTGCGGCCACTGTTGAATGCATCAGGCACAGCCAGCTGGGGGTAGAGGCCCCGGCCCAGCACCAGCTTGAGCAGGGCCAGCTGGTCTCGGGTCAAGTCCTGGGCAGAGCTGGCGGCCGCCTGAAGCTGCTCCAGGTTGTGGCGGAGCTTAAACTTCACATCCTGTGGGAACATGGGTGGGGCAGTGGCTGCTGGGGGGCCCTCCCTATCTCTAAGATGCTGTGTTAGGATGTGCTGGGGGTCCACAGAAACCATCCCAGGGAGAGAACAAGGCAGACACAGCTCTTCAATCCCTCAGGGGCAGGCTATGTCTCCTTTGTTACACCCCCACCCCCACCCCCACCCCTGGCACCTGACAGCCCTACTTGGATGTCCACACTGTCATGAGTTGCTCGGGAGGCTGAACCCTCGTGGTCCTCGTCACTGGAGCAGCCATCCTCCTGCAGCCGCAGCACCTTGCGTCTACGGCCCCCGCCCTCCTCATGCTGCCGCTTAAGCTGGTGCAGGGCCTGGCGCTCGCGGCGCTGCTGGAGGCGACTGTAGCTGTCTCCTGGGGTCACCGCCTGGGCCCCTCTCAGCAACCCGTGATCCCCCAGCAGCTCCTGGGGACAGGCAGAGGGCAGGTGAGGAACATGATTCTAACTGAGAGGGCTCTGGACTGACACAGGCTCACAGGTTGGCATGATGCCCACCTGAGTCAGTTTTTCTCAGTGGGAAGTGAGGGCACCCCAGTGCCCCCTGCAGGGTCAACCCTTTGCCTCTAACATGAGTTTCATGACCCATGAAGAGCTGTCACTGGTTAGCCCAGGGACACACAGAATGCAGATGCCCTCTTCCCAGAGCTGTCCCGGGCTTCTGATACTGCCCCTCCCTCCCCCTCTCAGAGGGGTTCTCCCACAGCACGACCATATGCAGGCACCTGGAAACCTGTCAAGAATGCCAAGTCCCAACCAGACACAGCAGTGCACACCTATAATCCCAGCACTCAAGAGGCTGCGAGCAGCCGAGGCTCCACAGCAAGGTTAGCTCAGTGGTAAAGTGCAAGCCTTGCAGGCAAAAGGCCCTGGGTTTTGATACCCAGCAACACAAAAATAAGAGTAGTAACAATAAAACAGAAATATCCAAAAAAGAAAAAAATAAAACATGTCCCAGGTACCAACCCAGGCCTTCTAGAGTCAATCCAGAAGTGGGAGTTAGTGGTGGGAACTCAGATGGAAAGACCAAAGTCCCCCACCCTCTGCCCTGGGCATGCTTTTGTCAACAGTCCTCAAACGACCCAATCTGATGGGCCTGTTTCTTGCTGTGCCTGACAGATAGAGAATGCAGATGTGCACATCCACTTCTCAAAGTGTCTGGGGTCAAGAGGAGTTAGAGCTCCAGGAGCTACAGACATGGAAAGTGCATGAGGGCCTCCAAGCCTCAAGCTGCCCACCTACAATCAAAGCCATGGCCTAGCCCAGAATGCCTATCGTCTTCCTCCCATAGATGCTGAGGACCACTGCAAAGGCATTTATCTGAGCTTCCTGTTAAGTGATGGAGAGATACATGTAAAACAGGAGCTACAGAACTGTGGGGTTGTCCAAGTCCATGACAGAGAGACATAAGCTCTGTCCTTACCTCTACAGTGACTAACAGTGATACATACCGTCCACAGCCCCCCACATGCCAGCCAGGCACTGTACTATGAGCTATATATTTGTCTGCTCATCAACACTGTTTCATCTTCTCACTCTCAGGGGAAGCTGAGGCACAGGCAGTAGTGAGACACTCGAGGCTGCACTGCCAGCTCATGGCAGAGCAAGGATACACTGCAGGATGTTGGGCTCTGGACATACTGACTGTACTGTCACCCTACGGAGCCTTAGTGCTCAACCTGAGCTGTAGCTCAGCACCCTGGGGTCAAAGAGCAGGCTTCTCTGTCAGGCCCCAGGTGTCCCCACTGACCGGTGTGCCTCCTCCAAGAACCCCACTGGAGTCCACACCTTTCTCTACCTTGCCCAGGCTGCCCCATGCTTCTGAGACAGTGGTGTAAGGCCTCACCTTGAACTGGCGCCTCAGGTTAGCCATCTCGTACAGTCGATGCTCCTCCACACCACGGTGGCGGCACCACTTGCGAGAGTTCCTGCTCCTCTCAGACTTCACCTGGTTGGGGTGCACACACTATGGAATCAGGGCCCGGACGGCTGGGGGCAGAGATGACCCCGGCTCCAGACTGCCCAGCATGGAAGGATGAGAGGTTTGTAGGAGCCTGGTGTCTGCCACTCCCCTCCTTTCAGGACTCAGCGCCCCAGAGCTGCTCCCCAACAGGAACTCCCAGACTGCACATTAGTCAGGCACCCAAGTCCCCATGCCAGCCCTCTCTGCACCCTGATTAGGGTTCAAGGATGGTGGACTTCGTATACAGGTGTTCTCAGGAGACTGGTCTTTGTCCAGACAGCACTACTGTGAGGCTCTGGCAACCCCAGGCTCCCTGTCAGCACTGGGCTGGGCATAGGCTGTCCCTCAGGCCAGGGTGGAGACAGGGGATTCCTCAGGAAGGTTCAGGGCTCAGAGGAAACATGAGGAGCCACAGCTGTGGGTTCCCAACGCAGGCTGAACAACTGAGGAACTAAGCTCCAGGCTCACCTGCACCCAAGCATTAAAGACATTGAAGAGTGTGAAGGGGTCTCCTTGGTCACTCTCCAGGGGCCGCCTGGCTGTGGCGCAGTCCAGATTGTTCTGGGCACTACGGGTGAAGGGTGACTGGACACTGAGGGCAGCAGCAATGGTGAGCACAGGTTCCTCCAGACTGAACATGGAGCCCAGGATGAGCATCTTCCCTGTGGGGCAGGAGGGGCAAAGCTGAGCCTTTGGGTACCCAGACTGGAGGCACTAGGGCCCTAACTTACCTCCAGCCCCCTTCTGGCCCTACTTCCCTCCCCATCACCTACAAAGGGCACTGGGAACCAGATGGACAGATTCTAACCCGTGAGCCGAGTTTCTGGGTATGTGACCTTGGGCAAGTTCATCATCTCTTTATTGGAGGTAATCACAGTTCCTAACTCCTCAGGCACACAGGGCCATGTTTAGTGCTGGCCATGCCTGCCAAGACCTACACATGCATATTCACAATGGCCTCCCTGGCTTGATCTCAGCCCTCCATGGTGGCAGCTCTCCTCCCCCAGCATGACCTGCACATGGCCTGTCCTGGTCTGTTCTGGCACACAGCAGACACCTAGTTTGTGCCTATGCAGGATGAACTGCCACAGCCTTTGCTTCATTTAAGGGTGGGGCAAAAAAAGAAGGGAAGGATGGAGGCAAAGAGGAGGGAGAGAGGAAGCCTGTGAAGAGGAGAAAAGGAGGCACAGAAGGGAAGGGAGGATGCAGAGGGCCATGGGGAAGAAAGGTAATGGGCACAGAACTGAGTGTGGAGAGGCACTGATGAAACCCACGTGTAAGCACCCATCAGCGGGGAACTGGATGTCCCCTCACTCTAGGGACCTGAGTAGACACAAAACCTCCTGGGAGCTCAGGCCCTAACACCTGCCTGCCTGAGCAGTGGCCCGAGTGTCACAGACATCTCAGCATCACTGTTCTTGACCTTGCAAAGTACCTGTCACATGCTGGTCCACCAAATGAAGGGCCCTAAAGCAAGGCTGGGGCGGGGCTATCCAGACCTGCATCAAGTGGTCCCAGCAAGTCCCAGCTCTAGCCCCTGGGGCAAGTCTGTTTCTCCTGCTGCCTTAGGGCCATCTGTGTTTCTCCCTGAGACACTCAGAGCCAGCCTAGGCCAGCCTGGGTCATCTGGACCTCTAGCCTCCTGCTCTGCAGATAACTGATCTCTGAGATGATTTCCCTCAGGTGAGTTGCTGACTCCCACCCCAAAGATGATGTTCTACCACTCCCTTGCCAGCTGACTTCTTCCACATCCCGAGGTGTACATCAATTCCCCAGACGACCTGTTTCCTCACCTGTCCTGATGAGGATCACAAGCCCCGACCTCAGCAAGAAGAGAAGAGCTGAGATGAGACCCTGAGGCTTCCCCTGGTGCAACACAGCAAGTACCCTAGGAATGTTTTGGCCCTCAGCTGTGATTCCTTACTCTAGCCCCAGCTCCTTCTAAACAGACAAAACTAGTCATCTTCTCAGCCCAGGAGGCCTCAGACACCACAGTGCCCAGTCTCTGGGCTACAGAAAAGCCCCAGTGCTGAACTGCTAGGGGATTTTAAAGGCGGCGGTGGCAAGGCAGAAAGATCACTTTAGTGCTTTAGTGACAGGCTTGGGCAATGGCTCGTGGGTGGTCCTGCTGAGGTGGGAGACTAGGGCTGTGAAGGAAACACATCCCGAATGAGAAGAGCTGAGCTGTAGGGATGACTCAGCAATGAGCAAGGGGAAGAGACAGCCCACTTGAAACACCCAGTGACCAAAAAACAGGGCCACCAGAACAGAGCAGGGACGGGCTGTGCAGAGAGGTGGGGGGATCTGAGCTGTGGAAAGCCCAGGACCTCTGCGTCTGAGGGTCCTGGGTCCCTACCTGCCTGACTCTCCCCCGAGACGGGGGTGAGATGTGAGGGCAGGGTCCATCTTTTCAGAACTCATGATCAATCAGGCACCTTCATCTTGCCCTCAGGCCATGCCCACTCCCAGTGACATCTGCAGTGGGATAACTGCCCTAAAGCAAGAGTGTCTGAACAGTGTGCCACAGATCAAACACAAGAATGACAGGTCAGAGGACAACAGGACCAATCCCTCAAGATAGAGCCCCTTCTTGTTAACAGGGTAGAGAGGATCACCCCACCTGCTCTGGGCCACTGACAGACTCAGCTCCCAGCATGGAACCAGAAGTGGTACAGGCTCCATGAGGCATGAGACCTGGTCTTTCTTGTGACCCAATGGGCTGACTCCTTTTTCTGGCCAATTCCAACCCACACTGCATAGCTCCCCTTAAACATTTCAGTCCCTCTCCCAAAACCTCTCACTGACCCCAGGCAGGAGGGAGCACTATCCCGACTCTTGTTCAGGCCCCTGCTTCAGTGTCAGTGAAGCCCCATCATCACTCAATTGCCTCCCCACCAGTCCAGCTGTGTCCCCTCAGGAGCGGCCCTGCTCTATCTTAACCGTCTCTCTTCCTCACTATCCACCTCCCATTCTGGTGAGCTCTATGAGGGTATGAATTTGTTCTTCACTGTCTCTCTGGCTTCTAGAATATATCTGGCTCACAACAGGTGCTCAGTAAGTATTTAATGATGGGGCTGTGGGCTAACATCCGCCCTCTCCCTCTGTCTCCGTGCCAATCACACAGGCCTCCTCACTGCTCCCAACATGGCCTCTGTACTGGCTGTTCCCTCAGCCCAGCATGCCTTTCTGTAACATGTGGCTACTGAGCACTTGAGACACAGCTGATGCAAACGTGTGCTGGGATACAAAATGCACACTGCGCTTCCAAGACTTATGAAGAGACAACATAAACACCACGGTAGTCTTTATGTTGATTACATGTTGTAATCATGATTTAGACATACTCATCCAAAAAAGATGAACTGACTCTCCGTCTCCTTGCTTCTCTAGCACAGCTGACGGAGTCTGAAGCCATGCACTCCTCTGCTTCCATTGGGAATGTGGTGCCTGCTCCTGCACTGCTCAACCCTCATCTCCACTTCTCTGCACAAATGTCCTCCGAGTGGGGTGACAGTGGGGTCTGGCCACCCCAACATTCCTGCCCGCCTCTTGCTTTCTCCCAGTTAACTCTTGTACCATCACTCGCTCTCCTGAACACCTCGGCTCTCCAAGAACAGAGGTGTGTGTCTGCTGTGTCCACTCTGAAGTCCAGTAATAGGCACAGGGCACTTGTGGATGAATTGGTGGATGTGAAAGTAAATGAGCCAGGAAGGCCTGGACTTGCCTAGTGGTCATTCTGAGTGTCTGGCTCCCCATGTGGTCCCCTATAGGGGGTCCTCACCAATCACAACGTCCACAGGCAGCTGTGCCAGCAGGGACCCGATGGGGGTGAGGGCCTCTGAGGTGTCCAGGGCCCCCTGGTCTCGAAGGTAAAGGATGGCAGTTTCCAGGCTGGCAGGTGGCGGGGGCTCAATGAAGGGGAAGGTTCGGGGGTCCCCCACACTCATGCTCTTCATCTGAAATGAGAACCAAACACCCTCAGAGTCAAGGAACACATGAGTCACTATGGCACAGAGGCTACAGGGGCACAGGGACTAAATTCACGATAGTCTTTAAAATTTCTGTCAGGCTCTGTCGTGGGGGAGAGGCACTGGCTATCTCCCTCACACATCTACACTGGACCAACTGCAAGTCCTCAACACCAGCCATGGAAAATGATTGTGAATGAGCACGTGACTGCACTGGGCCAAACAGAGGACTTCCCTGGACCAAAGCACAGTGGACCTAGAGAATCCTTGGTACCCTCTCTGGGTAGGGATAGCCGGATGGAAGCCCAGAGCTACCACTGAAGGTACTGCCTAGAGACCGGCCCATCACAGCAGAGGCCTCCTCCAATTACTCCCAAGCTGGACAGCTCCCCTTCCCCCAAATGACACACAGAGCACCCTCTGCCCGTGACAGTGTGAGGCCCAGCAATTTAAAGACTCCCCATTAGCCCAGAGAGCCTGGGAGGGAGTGCTAGGGTTGTGTGGGGAGAACATGACAGAACATGCCTAACTTGGCATAGCAACAAGTATCTCTCTGGTGACTGATGAAAGAAGGCTGGCAAGGCAGCCTGTGCGACTGCGAGAGCGCCTGCCTGCCCGCCTGCCTGGCTCATCTGGGGGCTAGGAGGTCTGGCTGCCCGCCTCCCATTCTAGCTCCTCCCTGTTCCCTGTTCCCTGATGTCAAAGAGAGCATCCATGGGGCTAGAGAGACGGCTCAGTGGCTAAGAGCACTGGCTGCTCTTGCAGAAGACCTGGGTTTGGTTCCCAGCACCCACATGGTGGTTAACAAACATCTGTAGCAGAGGATCAGACACCTTGTCTAGCCTCCATAGGCATTGCACACATAGGTACACTTACATGCATGCAGGCAAAATGCTCATACACATAAAAATTTTTTTCTTAAAGGAATGCATCCAGTGGGCTGGGTATACTAGTATGATCCTAGCACCCAGGAGCCTAAGGAAGGAGAATCCTGAATTAAGAGGCTAGCCTGGGCTCAGAGTCACATATATATATACTCAGGCATGCACACACACACACACACACACACACACACACACACACACAATAAAATAACACCCAAGCCTGGAACTGTGTATTCTAGAACTGCTCAAACCAGTGCTTTTCTTGTTGTGTTTAACTTTGGAAGATACGTCTCTTTGTGTAGTCCAGGCTGGCCTCAAACTCTACATCCTCCAGCCTCAACCTCCTGAATTCTGGTATTCCAGGCATGCACCACCATGCCTGCCAAAGCCAGCATAATTTTTTATTTGTTTGGTTTTGGGTTTTTTGAGACAGCGTCTCTATATAGCCCCAGCTGGCCTGGAACTCCCTATGTAGAAGAGGCTGGCCTTGATCTCATAGAGATCCACCTTCTCCCAAGTGCTAAGATTAACGGCATGCGCCCATAAGCCAGTATAATTTTAACTAGCAGGTGATGAGTAGGTCAGAGGTTCCATGCTGTGTCACAATCAAAATCCCTTAAAAAACAGGCGTGGTGGCGCGCGTCTATAGTCCCAGCGCTTGGGAGACAGAGGCAGGCAGATCTCTGTGAGTTCAAGGCCAGCCGGTCTACATTGTGAGTTTCAGGCCAGCTGGGGCTATAGGGAAACCCTGTTTCAAAAAGACCAAAAAAATAAATTAATTAAAAAAAAAAAAAACCAAAAACCAAAAACCTGAACTCAGAAGACACCAAAGTGCACTGCCTGCAGGAAGAGCATTGGCTTGTCCTGTTCCTAGACACACAGCCTGAGGCAGCATGGGAACCTGGGCAGACACGGGGGCCTGGACAGACATGGGGGCCTGGACAGACATGGGGGCCTGGACAGACATGGGTAGCTACACCATTTTCGTTCTCTCCTCTTTTTTTTCAATACCAGATAGTGAACCCAGAGCCTCTACTTTTACATTTTCAGAGACTTGCTTTGTAGCTCAGTCTGGCCTCAAGCTCACTATTATAGCCCAGGATGGCCTTGAGCTTCTGATCCTCTTGCCTCCACCTCCAGAGCTGATGAAAGGTATGTGTCACCATGCTCAGTTTATACAGTGCTGGGGATGGAGCCCAGGGCTTCCTGCATGCTAGGCAAGTGCTCTACTGAGCCACAGCCTCAGCCTGGCCTCCAACTCTGGATCCTCCTGCCTTAGCCTCCTCAGTTTGCACTACCATCCCTGCTTCTTTTCCTTTATTTCTGCGTACAGAGTACACTCCCCAACTCTTCTCGTGGTAAGTGACAGGTGAGCTGCTAGGGTGAATGCCTCTGTGGCACGGCCCCACACCCACTGTTCTCACTCCAGGCTCCTCTCCCATGAATGAGCAGATATTAAAAAGGCCCTATGAAGAAGAGAGCTTGCTTGGAATCCCAGCGCTCAGGAGGCAAAGGCAGGAGGATTGCTGCAAGTTAGAGGTCAGCCTTGTCTACATAGCAAGTTCCAGACCAGGCAGAGCTACACAGTGAGTCTGTCTCAAGAAGGAAAGTAGGGGGCTGGAAAGACGACTCAGTATTTAAGAGCACTGGCTGCTCTTGCTGAGGATCTACCTGAGTTCAAGTCCCAGCACCCACATGCTAACAATCATCCATAACTCCAGATCCAGGGGAATCCGACACCTCCTTCTGACCTCCTTGAGCATTACACAACATGGGTACACTTATATACATGCAGGCAACACATTCATACACATAAAATAATAAATAATTTTTTTTTGGTCTTTTTGAGACAGGGTCTCCCTGTAGCCCCAGCTGTCCTGGAACTCACTATGTAGACCAGGCTGGTCTTCAAAAGTCATGGTTGAAAATGTTTCAAGAAGCCCATTGTGGTGGTGTACGCCTTTAGTCCCAGCATTTGGGAGGCAGAAGCAGGTAGATCTCTGTGAGTTCAAGTCCAGCCTGGTCTATATAGCAAGTTCCAGACCAGCTGAGGCTACAGGGAAATCCTACATAGTAAGACCCCTGTCTCAAAAAAAAAAAAAAAAAAAATCTCAAGAAAGCTGACATCACCGGGCATGGTGGCGCACACCTTTAATTCCAGCACTCTTGGGAGGCAGAGACAGGCAGATCTCTGTGAGTCTAAAGCCAACCTGGTCTACACAGAGAGTTCCAGGCCAGCTGGGGCTACAGGAAGACTGTGTCTCAAAAAGACAAATAAAAATAAAAAGTCTCAAGAAAGCTGTCACAAGCCACTTTACACTAAGCTCTACTTACAGCTGAAGCCCCAGCTGAGCTCTCAGATCTGAGGGCCAATTCTGCAACCTGAGTTTGGCCTCTGGAAGGGGTGAGGTCCCTGCAGGAGCTTGACCAGCCCTAACATCCTGGCTGGCCCTGTCCAAACTCTTCCCGGATTCCCTGGTGCCCACAGTCTGGTCACGTCCCCTCCTATGCAGGCCTCACCTGCAGCACCAGTGCATCTAGGGCCACCCTGCGAATTTCTGGGACAGGGTAGGGAGCGAAGGCATTGTAGTCAGACTCGGCATAGAGACGGTAGCAGACCCCGGGGCCTGTGCGGCCTGCGCGGCCCTTGCGCTGTTCTGCACTGGCTTGGCTGATCCAGAACTCCTGGAGCCGCTGCAGCTTGGCCTGTGGGTCATAGCTCATCTCCTTCACCTTTCCTGTATGGGGAAGATGGGCACTGAGGAGGGCGGACCACACACATTCCATTATTCACCAGGCACTCCTGAGCATGTTCTAAGCCTGCCCTGACAGTCTGCTCATTTATTCTTTCATTTCTCTATCCACACACTGCCACAGCATTGATGTAACACACCCAAGGTGCATGCAGCAACCAACTGCTCCCCAACTGGCTCTATTGGGAAGTGGGGCCTGGTGGGAGAACTCTGGGTTAGTGGAGTGTGATCTGGAAGAGCAGTGGGACTTCCCCACTCACCCCTTTTTGTTTGTTTGTTTTTGAGACGGACTCTCCCCTTTAGCCCCAGCTGGCCTGGAACTCACTTATATAGACCAGGCTGGTCTCTGTTTCACAAGTCTGCCAGCATCTGCCTGCTCTTCTGGGATTCAAGGTATGCACCACCACACCCGGCTTCTCCTCTCTTTGCTTCACCTCCCTAAGCGAGTGATCTACAGGCCCAAGGTATTGGGTCACCTGATCATGGACAAAACTCTAAAACTGAGGGTATGCCTCATGCAGTGCAGTGAGTCAGGGATGTCACAGGGAGACTGACTGACTCACTCGTTCTCTCTTTGCTCCTTCAGATGTTCAGTCATCCCACATGTTCTGATTAAGCACCTACTATGTGCAGGCAGGGTCATAGACACTAGGGAAACATTGCCAAGCGAAACAGAGGCCCTGATCTCCCAGCCCAATCACAACACTATTCTTTGTCCACTGGAGACCAAGCTTTCCCATGTTTAATTGCCTCTGGAATGGGCTATGCCTCAAAGTCAAGAGCATGCCATGTTTCACTGATGGCATTTTAACATCTTCATAGTACACCAGATTATGGGATGTTTCGTGTCCACACTGCCCAGAGTCAACACACTCACTAAGTGCTACAGCCCCTGAACAGTCACATTGTGCCAGGAACCCACAAACCAAATGAACCAACTCCCTTCATCCTTATGCCCTGAGGATGGCACTGTTATCACTGCCATCTTACAAGTCAATGACAAGACCCCAAGGTCTGGCTCCAGTGTCTCCTGGCAACTAAGCTAAGCTGCCTTTCCAGTGAATGTTCTAGTTGGGAACACAGAAAATAAAACAGTCACAACTTAACATATAATGCCAGTCTCCCCACAGTGAAAGAGGGGAAGATTACTTGGTGTGGCCAGGGTGGGGCTCTCTTATGGGGACCCTCTCTAGGCCCTAGAATGAGAGGAGAGGGAGGCAGAGAAAGGAGTCTAGAGGAGGACAGGTCTCAGAGAGCAGTAAGAAAAAGGTGTGGGGCAGACACAAGCTCAGAGTATCTGAGCAACACTGAGGTGTTCTATCACAGTCCTTACCAGAATCCACTACGAAGCGGATCCCATCGATGGTGACCGAGGTCTCAGCAATGTTGGTGGAGAGGATACACTTCCGGACTCCAGCGGGGGCCACATCGAATACCTAGGGCAAGAGAGGAGGTAGCATCAGGGGCAAACTCAACCCTGACAGACCTGCTTGCCCACTGGACTCATGGATACCCCAGGCACTCCTCACTGGTGGTCTAAAACAGCCTCAGGACCTCTACCTGTGACACGGCTCACCTCCTACCCAATCACCTGGGCTGTCTCAGGCTAACCTCCCCTCAGCTCCCCACCTGAACATCTTCAACATTTCAACTCCTTCACTTCCACCAAACCCCAGCCCCTCCTTAGTCCAGGCCCCTTTCTCCTCTCTCAGCCTACAGAGCTGCCCCTCCTGCTGTGCCCTCTAGTCTCACACACTCCAAACCACCACTCATAGGGCGGCCAAGGAGATCTGCTATGACACAAACTAGCATTGTGTCTGCTGGGCTCAGACCCCTCCTACAGCTCCCCACAGCACTTGGGACAGAGCCCAGGTACCACCCTGGGTCTTCAGATCCCCTATGGTCCAGTCCCACACATTTTTTTCAATCCCATCTCTCCTGACTTCTTCACTTGCCAGTGGCCCTGTTTCTTACACCACAGGCCCTTTGCACAAGCCCTTCTCTCAGTGCAAGGAAATAGCTAAGCATAATGGCTAACGGCAATAACTATGGCCTGTAGGCCATGTGTAGTCTGCCACGTGTCTTTGTAAATAAAGGGGTTTTTTGTTCTTTTTTTTTCTTTTTAGACAAAGGCTTCCTGTAGCCCCCAGCTGGAACTCTTATGTACTCAACCACAGAAAGATCCTCCTGCCTCTGCCATCCAAGTGGTGGGATCAAAGGTGTGTGCCATCAAGCCCAGTTTTAGGAATTCAGTCTTACCCTTTCAGTTTATGGCTGCTTTCCTGCTTCATGTGAGAGAAAGTCTAGGGCGTGCAAAGCTGAAAACACCTTCCCTCCGGCCTTTCCTAGAAAATCTGCCAACCTCTGGTTAAGAGCTCCAGGGCCAAACACCCTGTGCTCACAGCCTGCTCTGCCATTTGATGGCCACTTAACCCTTCACACTCCGCAGACCTGGGACTGTGGGATGCACTCAGTTGTTATACTTGATCCCTGACCCAGAAACTCCCACCTGCCAGGCATGGCCTGGCTGTGTGCAGTACCTTGTCCTGGTCAGCCACAGAAAGGGCACTATGCAGGGGCAGCACCACCCAGCGCTGGGTGAGGCTGGCATAGGCTTGGGCAGCATCCAACACGGCGCTGATCTCCGCCATACCACTGAGGAAGACAAGCAGGTCTCCCCGCTCCTCTGGAGGGTACTTATTATCAATGGCCTCCAGCACCCTCAGGTAGGGCCGTGGGTCCAGCTTCTCTGACTTGGATGTTGTCGCCTCTGCCTCCTGCGGCTGGTATACAACCTGTGAGACAACCCGGGCAGGATGGTCACTCCAATGCAGCAAAGGGGGGGGACCACAGGTTCACAGGAAGGACACAGCACAGGCGGTGGCAGGCTGCACTCCAAGTGGGTAACTTTTAGAGGGTACAGTAAAAAGACAAAGCAGCAAGGTAACAGGAAGGCCTCTGGGGCTGGCAATGTTTCAGCTTTTAAAATCTGGGTGCTGGGGCTGGAGAGAGCACTCAGCGTTAAGAGCATGTCTTAGTTTGCTTTCAGTTGGTGTGATAAAAACACGAACCAGGCCGGGTATGGTGGCACACGCCTTTAATCCCAGCACTTGGGAGGCAGAGGCAGGAGGATCTCTGTGAGTTCCAGGCCAGCCTGGTCTACATAGTGAGTTTATTTTGATATATCACAGTGAAAGATTTATCGTCCTCTTTTTTTTTTTTTTCCAAAAAAAAAAAAAAAAAAAAAAAAAAAAAAAAAAAAAACCCACGGACCAGAACCAACTTGGGGAGGAAAGGGTTTATCTTACATCTCCAGGGTCACAGTTCATCACTGAGAGAAGTCAGGGCAAGAAGTCAGGGTCAGAACTCAGGGCAGGAACCTGGAGGCAGGAGCTGAAGCACAGATCATGAAGGATTACTTACTGGCTTGCTCCTCTGGCCCCTGTTCAGCCTGCTTTTCTATACAGTCAAGAAAATGCCTCATAGACATGGCCACAGGCCAATACAATAGAGGAGATTCTTCAGCTGAGGTTCCCTCTACCCAGCTGTATCAAATTGACAACTGAAGCTGTCCAGCACAGAGCACTTGCTCTTTCAGAGGACCCAAGTTTGGTTCCCATAAATTCATTAATCTTTTTTTAAAAATCCAGGGGGTTGCTGGGCATGGTGACACATGCCTTTAATCCCAACACTTAAAAGACAGAGGCAAGGGAATCTCTGTGAGTTCAAGGCCAGCCTGGTCTATATAGCGAGTTCCAGGCCACCCAGGGCTACAGAGAGACCCTGTATCAAAAAAGACCAAAAACAAACAAACAAACAAACAAACAAACAAAATACCCCAGGGGGCTGGAGAGATGGCTCAGTGGTTAAGAGCCTGGCTGCTCCTGTAGAGGACCTGGATTTAGTTCCCAGCACCCACATCAGGTGGCTCACAACCACTTGCAACTCCAGTTCCAAGAGATCCAACACCCTCTTGTGGCCTCTGTAGGCACACCATACACTCAGGCACACACACATACACATAAAATAAAAAATCTTAAAAAACAAAACACAGCAGGTCTTTCTCATTCAGAGTACGATAACCTGAACAAGAAAAACAAAATGCTGAAATGGTGGAGAGCCCTACTAAGTACGCAGAAATCACCTATTCTCTGGTGGCTGCTTATGAGGCAATTCACAGGCACATAGAACTGGAAACTACAAGCCACAACACACTCTGTCCTGAGAGCTCCGACCACACAGATAAGGCCAGCTCCCTGGGACACTGTTTATAACTGGGTGTGGTTTTGCTATCAGGGATCATGTGGCAACATCTGGAGCCATTTGGGGCTGTCAAAACTGGGGAGAACAGCCCCTACCACAGACCATTCAGCCCCACATTTCAAGACTGCTGACTTCGAGAACTCTGGCCTGTGAGAGCCATGAGAAAGGAGGAGCCCCAGTACCTGAAGGACCACATGGAACAGAGCAGCCTTCCATCCTGGAAGGGCCACAGTTCAGAAAAGAAAATCAGCTTTCCCCATCAGATCCTTTGTTTTTTGAGGTTTTTTTGGTTCTAGCAATTGGGCTTTCACGCTAATACTTCCCCAGCAGGCTAGAGATGTTCAGGGAACAGAAGTTTTAAGGAGAGAGGCTGTCCTTAGTTGGAGATGGAGAGGGGCAGTAGGGTGCAGAGATGGAGCAGAGCTCACCGTGATGGGAAAGAGCCGCCCAGGCACCTGCACCACGGGGGCATGGCTGAAGTAGCTGGAGAAGAGCGAGATGTTGATGGTGGCCGACATGAGGATGACCTTGAGGTCGGGCCGCTTGGGCAGCAGACGTCGCAGGACTCCCAGCAGGAAGTCATTGTGCAGATGGCGCTCGTGGACCTCATCCACAATCAGGACCTCGTACTGGGGCAGGCTGGGCTCCCGCTGGATCTGACGCAGGAGCAACCCCACCGTTAAGAACACGATCCTGGTGGCTGCAGAGCGTGTGCTTTCAAAGCGGATCTGGTAGCCAACCTGGGATAGGGGGAAGGAGGTGTCAGGTTCAGGAGAGGACCTGAGACCTGGGCAGCAGGGCCCACCCTTCGAAGCATGCCAGTCTGAGCCTCAGAGTCTAGTTACAGCTCTGCTGATGAGGGCAGGTGGCCTTTAGGCCACCCCTGCAGACCTGATTTCTGGCTGCATAAGGCTACATGTGGCAACATACATACAGTTTCTATGCAGTGCCCAATGGATAATATTAAATAATTGTAATAGCAATAATTACCCTTCTGTGAGACTTCATGTACCAGAAACTCATCCAAATGCTTATGTGTACAATTATCTTGCCCTCAACCTCATAACCACCACCCCTGCTACCCTGACTCCTGGTGAAGAAAGTGAGGTTGCTCACCCAAGATAACAGAGCTAAAAGGAGATATGGAGAAATGTATCTTAAGCTCCACCCCACATCACACACCCCCAATTCCAGAACTCTAGGTTTAATGTGTGTTCTTAGAATCATTTTTTCATAGCCCTCAAGTACGTAAACATTTTTAAATAGAACCAGAGTGCACTAAACTTTCAAAGAAATGAAAAACTGAATTATATCCAGGCATGGTGGTGCATACCTTTAATCCCAGCACCTGGGAGGCAGAGGCAGGCAGATCCCTGTGAGTTCAAGGGCAGCCTGGTCTATATAGTGAGTTCCAGGCCAGCTGGGGCTATAGAGAGACCCTACCTCAAAAAGACAGAAAAAAAAACAACTTAATTATATTTTGGTGACAAACCATCATCATCAAAAGATACCATCAAAACAATGCAGGGCAACTCATAAAGAAACAAGTGTCTCCATACGAAAAAAAAAAACAAACCACAAATGGCCCCATGCAGCATCTACAAAAGACCTACAAATGATGCCAGGCATGGCAGCACAGACCTTTAATCCCAGCACTTGGGAAGCAGAGGCAGGAAGATCTATATGAGATCAAGGCCAGCGTGGTCTACATAGTGAGTCCCAGGCCAGCTAGGGCTATGGGAGACCTGTCTTAAAAAAAACTATAAATGAAGGACAGTGTAGATGTAAAAAGGAGAAAAGGCAGAAGGGACAACCCACACAAGCTCCCCAAGGCAGCTGGGTCCATGAAGAGAGTGTGCTCAAGAGCTGCAGATGACCTAGCTGGTGCTAACCCTAGCACAGGAAGCAGCTGGATCTCTGAGCTCAAGGCCAGTCAGGTTCACACAATGAGTTCCAGGCCAGCAGGGCTACAGGGAGACCCTGTCTCCACATTGAAAAAAAGAAGAATCTTATTGATAATCAGAAAGCATCAGTCTGGGGCTACAGCTTAGTGACAGAGCAACTGCTTAGCACGGATGAACCCTGAGGCTCAATCCCCAGCACTGTCACAAAATCAAACCAAAATCCCCAACTGTCTTTAATAAGCACTTTCCTAGGAAGTGAAATGTTTCCATTAGGGTGTTGCCATCTGTCTGTCTGGCAAAGTGCTATCTATACTAGTGCCTTTGTCATTTAGACCCTGTACAAGCCAATCTGTGCATAAAAGTTCTAGAAGAACCCTCTCGGGTGGATGCCTGAGTGTTTAGCTTTTGTGGATACCCCCGTGAGGTTAATCTGCTCATTCCTGTGTCCCAAAGAACTCGAGGAAGCTGGCCCAAGCCACTCACCTGGGAGCCATATTGACTGAGGCTCTCGAAGCCTACGCGCTTGGCCAGGGAGATGCAGGCGATTCTTCGGGGCTGCGTGCATGCCACGTGACTGAAGCCTGCGGCCAGCAAGTACTGGGGCACCTGAGTGGACTTGCCACAGCCAGTGTCTCCGGCCACCACCACCACCTGGTGCTCCCTGAGTGTCTGCAGGATTCGGGTCCCGTACTGGGCGATGGGCAGCGCTGCCCGCTCGCGCTGCAGTTTAGCCAGGCGCCCGAACGCCTGCTTCTGCCCAAAGTCCAGGTAGTGCAACATTGCCCGCCGGAACTCTGACACTCTCTCGGGGGGCAGCCGCCTGCCCAACCCCTGGCAGCCCCGAGGGCCCGGGCCAACGATGGAGAGGTTGATACGGTAGCGGGGGTCGTAAGTGTGAGGGAGGTCAGCCAGGCCTGGGGCAGCGGGTGAGGGGCGCCCAGGGGCTTTCTCCTCTTTCCTGGCGCCCTTGTGGTGCTGGAATCTCTGCAGGCGCTCAAAGAAGGCCCAGAACTTCTGACACTCCTCGGAACCACGATGGATATAATCCTCTTCTCGGAAGAAGACATCCTCGAAGAGGCAGCGAGTGTCTGCACAACTCCAGTCCCATCTCTTGGGGGCCTCCTCCTCCCTGGGGGTCCGGTGGTCCCGGCCATCCCTACCCTCCCTGGTACTGGGAGGAGGCATGGTGCCAATCACAGTGCTGCCAAAAATTGGTCTCAATTCTGAAGGTGTGGGCCAAATACTGTCACTGAACTCCCAGGGTCAGCAGGATGAAGCCAGTGTGGCAGGAAGGAAGCACCCTCTTCAAACAGCTAGCTCTCTTTTCCTCCCAGGGGACACTGGATGGCAGTAGCCTGCAGAGCTGCGGATGCACAGGACATCATGACTCCTGCCCTGACCGCTGGACTGGACACAGGTTCATCCTGCTTGGGGAAGAACATGGAAGCAGTCTTTTACCTCTGGAACACTAATTAAAAGCCTGCTATTATCTCAAGTGCTGGACCAGGAAGAGGAGGTCATAAATGCTACTCCCTGAGCCCTCACAGGTGGCCACAGTCACAAGAGACACTTCACCAATGTGACAAGCCAGGACAGCCAGTGAGAGAGGAATCCCCAGAGGCACCTTCCCCATGCTTCGGAGCCAGAAAAGGTCCCCAGGAAAAAGGGATGTTTGACCAGGAATCTAAAGGAGGGATGGAGGTCACATGGACTATCAGCAGATGAAAGCTGGTGAGAAACAAAAGCATAAATAATGAAAATAAGGCAAGGGGAGCCAGGCATGGTGGCACACACCTTTAAACCCAGCTCTCAGGAGGCAGATCTCTGAAATCCAGGTCAGTGTGGTCAAGTTCCAGGCCAGCTGGGGCTACAGGGAGACCCTGTCTCAACCAACCAACCAACCAACCAACCAATCAGGCAGGCAAGGGCTCTTCATCTGGGCTCCAATGGGCTTCATAACACTGGATGAAGCCACTAAAATTGCAACAGAAAATGTTATCAGTGTTAAGAGATTGGCTTGGCCTGGCCTGGCATGTGGCATCCTCTTCCTGGTAACAGAACCCACTTTGTTTCAGAGAATGGTTTCATTTCCACATGGCTCTGATGGGCTGGGCAAATGACAAAGGCCTGGTCAGCCATAGTACTTCCCTGCTCCCCCCCCATCAGTGATGGGTCTCAGAAACAGACACTTAACCAGGGCTCTTCCTTAGAACTTATAGTTATTAAAAAGAAAAAAAAAAATTTTTTTTTTTTTTGGTATTTTTGAGACAGGGTCTCCCTGTAACCCCAGCTGGCCTGGAACTCGCTATGTAGACCAGGCTGGCCTCGAACTCTGAGATCTGCTTGCCTCTGCCTCCTGAGTGGTGGGATTAAAGGAATGCGTCACCAAGCCCTGCGTTTTTAATCTATTATAACTGGGCAAGCTGGATCTAACCTGAAGTTGTTTGGCCCTGGTTCCAGTCTTTCCTAGAAATGTACCTTAGAGAAAACCCTGCACTTGGGCATAGTGGGTCACACACAGGGATGGCTCCTGAGAGGGGGAGAGGCCTGGCAACATCACTTAGTGTTCAAGGCTTAGTTCTCTTCAACCCTTCATTCCTGGCTACACAAGAAAATGCCCTCCTTTCCCCTACATGAAGAGGGAGCCCAGGGCCTCATGCATGCCAAGCAAGTGCTCTACCATAGAGCCACCCCCTCCCTCAATGCCATTCTGCCTAAAGTTAGGTTCTTATCTCTCAGCTGAAAAAGTAACTAATAAAGAGCATAGTGCAGCATGTGTTCAGCACCCTTCCTTCTAGAAAGAGCTTATGGGGCTGGTGAAATGGCTCAACAAGATGCCTGCTGTCAAGCTTGGCAACCCAAGTTCCACTCCCAGGACCATGGGAAGGAGGGCTGACTCTTACAAGGTGTCCCCCCGACGTCCTTACACATGCACACAAAATAAAATGTAGAAGGAGGGTGCTTACGACTTAAGAGGGTTCACAGACTTGGTAAAGAGCTTGGAGACAGATCTGAGTTTGAATCTGACCATTTACCATCTGCAAACTAATTTCTTTGGTTTTTGTCTATAAAATGGGAACAGTATCCATCTCAAAACAGTACTAGCTTGGTGAAGAAGCCAAACAGCATGTATTATTCAAGTTCAGTGTTTTCTCTCTACAGTTTCCAACACAGGGAAAGTATCAAGAGGCACAAGGGGCATTCAAACTGGGGGGGAGGCGGGATGCAAAAGGCCACAAATGACCTTCCTAACAGCATTAGCAGTCACCTACTCTGCCTTCAATCTCTCAAGGGTAATCTCGAAACAGTGCAGAGGAATGCTCTCTAGCCACAGGGGGAGACTCAAGCCAATCCTGGAACTGCTAGAGCTAGATCTGAGTTTCAAGTGAGGAAGACCCTGTGAAATGTCAGGGGTTGACTCCACAAAAGACACTGCAGCACTCTTCACTCTGCGTAAACACCCAATGACGGGCCTGCCTCAAGAACTCTTCGCTTTTAAGAGCCAAGGGAATACCGAACCAGTGATACTCAGAAAAGGACAGGGACCTTTCAGGTAATAAACTGCCTATACAACTGGGCCCAATAGCATCATATGACCCTCATGGAATCTTTTACGGTTTCATTCATTCGACTTCTGGGTTTCTTTTCTACTTTTCTGAGCCAGTCTCAGGTAGCCCAGGCTGGCCTTAAAGTCATCCTCCTGCCTCCATCATCCAAGTGCTTGGATTACAGATGTACACCATCATACTCAATTCATCTAAAACAGGGTGTGGCTTCTGGCCTCACATTTGCCATGCAGGATCAGGTTAGATTGAAAGTCACAACCTTCCTATCTCAGTCTTCCAAATGCTAAGATTACAGGTGTGCACCAGCATGCCTGGCTTTTCTTGGACTTTTAAATTCCCTGGATCCTCTTCTTTATAACTTTGTCTATAATCATCTCTTAGTTTTGGGCTACTCCTGGGCTCATGTCCTTTACTGGGTTGGTTTCCTCTCCATCTTCAGACCTTGGTCTCTTTTTCAGTCCATCTTCCCACATCTCTCTTCCTTTTCCTGATACCATCTCTCTTGGCCTAGAACTTGCTATGTAGACCAGTCTGGCCTTGAACTCACAGAGATTCACCTGCCTATTAAAGGTGTATGCCACCACACCCAGTTTTTTTTTTTTTTTTTTTTTTTGGTCTTTTTGAGACAGGGTTTCCCTGTAGCTCCAGCTACCTGGAACTCACTCTGTAGACCAGGCTGGCCTCAAACTCACAGAGATTCCTCCTGCCTCTGCCTCCCAAGTGCTGGGATTAAAGGTTGTGCGCCACCATGCCTGGCTTTTTCCTGATATTTTTTTAAAGACCTAACTGCATTTGACATTTATTCCTGTGAGGTTTCATCTTAATTTTCAGTATTTTCCTAACTTACAGGATTTCTCTAATTTCTTGTTGTCTTGTATGCAAGTGAGGTGACACCCGGACATGCCTGGAAGCCAGATGCTAGGCTGTATTCTTGAATCACTCCCCATCTTGAGATAGGGTCTCCCACTGGCTGGCCAGCAAGCTCCTGATATCTACCTGTTTCCAGCCCCCAGCACTATGGTTACAGGAATGGTTATGCCAGGATTTTACATGGATGCTGAGGATTTGAACTCAGGCCCTTATGCTTGTGCAGCCAATACTTCATCAACTAAGTCATCTAAGCCATCTCCCACCTCCTGATTTGTTTGATCTTTACTTTCTGTAATCCAACTCTATTTCTTCCCTCTCCCCCCCACTTCAGGTCTCCATGTGACTTTCTCCATCCATCTTTCTCATTTTGTTTCCATCGTTATTTTTTTGGATTTATTTTTGGAGACAGGCTTTTGCTATGTAGTATGATCTCCAATTCACAATCCTGCCTCAGCCTCCAGTGCTCAGAGTCACACCTGGCTCCTGGCACTCCATTTCTGCCTCCGGTTTTCTCTCCATGTTTCCATCTAATGTCTTTCTCTCTCAATGGTCAGCAGCTTGAATAGCTACCACTTACATGGATTCTGTGTTGAGGTAGACTCAATCACTTGTCTACAATCATACCGTCCTGAACACCCCCAATCTTGTCTCAAACATGTATGTACACGTATACTCTCACTTTTCTCACACTAAGAAAGCACTAGTCTATTTACTGAGATAGGTGGTATGAAAGCACTAGTCTATTTACTGAGATAGGTGGTATGAAAAATTGGAATTTAGGGATCTGGGTTCCAGTCCTCCCTTCATTTTCAAGCATTGATTCTTCATCACCTTCGACTTTTCGAGTATTATTTCAACCTCCCTTTCCATAGACGTGGGTCCATCTTCTCTCCATTCGCAGGCTGTTTCCGGGGTCAAGGCCCCCCACCCACCCCAGCATCCTTCTCTCGCGTGGCACCCGGCCGCCTCATGCCATCAACTCCTCCCTTTCCAGCTCTTCTCTCTCAAGGTCCTGGCCTCTCAGTCCGTTTCTCGAAACTTCTTTCCGCTTCTCCACGCAGTCAGTTCACGGCCTCTCGGCCCCCCAGCTTCTTCCTCAGGCTTCCGCTCAGTCAACTGCCCATCCCCGCCCCCGACGCCAGCCCTGCGCTTCCGGGCACATTATCTCAGGGGTCCCCTCGCTCCCCAGTTGCTTCTGAGGCAGACCCGACCGAGTCCCGCACAGGCCAGCCACAATACCGCCCCGCACGCGCGCCCCGCCCCTCACCTCAGGAGCCTCGGAGGACGCCTCAACTTCCGGTCACAAAATCGGGCCTGCGCCTGCGCACTCCAACCTCGCTTCCGTCCAGGAGCCAGTAAGGATGGCCACGACCGACCCCGCCTCTCTGCACAGAAGAGCCAATAGGGAGACGCGGAAGCACAAGATCCCGCTGCGCCTGCGCACAGAGTGTTCTTGGCCCTTCTGGCTTCAGGCTGTCTCGGGTGTGTCTGGGCGCCCTCTCGAGGCCGGAGGAGGCATTGCAGTCACGTGTCCTCTCCTGGCCCTGCCTCAGCCCTTCTCATCTGCAGTCACCTGCACCCCAAGGTTACTAGAAAGCAGGACTTTGAGCCAGCGAGAAAGCTCAGGAACTATTAAGGCAGTCCTGTGATCACTCTATTAATATAACTCACTAGTATGGTCTGCGTTGTGTCTCCCAAAGCCCACTGCAGAGGCACAAACATACTCGTGACTAAATGAACGAGAAAAAAACTCCAGGGAAAGCACCTTGGTACTCTTGGATGTGTCAATCATTGAGGGAAGTGAGCTTCAGAGGCACTTACATAGGCAAAACATAAAATAGGACTGGAGAGATGATTCAACCGTTAAAAGCACTAAGTGTTCTTGCAGAAGACCCGGGTTCAGGTCTCAGCATTCACATAGTGGCTAACAACCATCTGTAAATCCAGTTCCAGGGGATCTGAGGCCCTTTTCTGACCTCTGCTGGCACTGCACAACAGGGGTGCACTTACATTCATACAGACAATACAGTCATACACATAAAATTAAAACATCAAATTTTTTTAAAGTATATAAACACCTGGCATGGTGGTGCATGCCTTTAATGCCAGCACTCAGGAGGCAGAGGCAGTCAGATCTCTGTGAGTTTGAGGCCAGACTGGTCTACATAGTGAGTTCCAGGCCAGCCAGGGCTACATAATGAGACCCTGTTTTAAAAAATAAAAAAATAAAGTATACAAATGCAGCTCAGTTTTTGCATTTTTATGTCCTGGAGTCTCACTTTTCCACTCATGTTATTTTATTGTGTTAAGGGTCCGTAAAATTCCCTAAATTGACCACTCGGACACTGAGTCTCAGTAAAAAGGAGCGCTTTATTGGAACCAACCGGTTGGGGACGCAGACAGTCTCAGGAGCTGTACTGAGACCCCAAACAGTGAAAATGCAGAGCTTTTAAGCAGAAAACCCACAAAAACCACAAGGCAGGGGATGTCCATAGAAACTATACACAGAATAACCAGGAAAGGATTGGAACAATCTAGGGCCGATTTCCAGAGACTTTATCTATACAGCCATTGGCTGTCTTACCTGGGGCAGAACGTTCTTTCTCTTCTGCCCCAGATTATTTCCATAGTAACCATACACAGATGTATCAAGTATACTGTCATTGGCCTGCCCACCTGGGGCAGAACATTCTATCTCTTCTGCCCCAGACCATTTCCATAGAAATCATAAACAGATACCAGGAAAGGGTTTGAACAATGAAGGGGATTTCCAGAGTTAGGTGGAGGGCAGCTTTTTATCAGAGGATAGGGAGGGGGTCTGAGGGGCACTCTCTTTCAATTGAAGGTGTCTTCTCTGACAGTGCTGCTTAAAATAACATCTCCCCACACCCTCCTATCCAATTTGTGCTTTGCCATATAGTATTGCTTAATATTTTATTTACTTCATGATTTTTAAAATATTTTTATTTTATGTGTATGAGTGTATTGCTTGCATGTATGTAAGTGCACCCGTGTCATGCAATGCCCACAGAGGTCAGAAGAGGGTGTCGAATTCCCTAGAACTGGAGTTATGGATGGTTGTTAGCTGCTGTGTGGGTGCTGAGACCTGAACCCAGGTCCTCTGCAAGAGCCTCCAGTGCTCTTAACAATTGAGCCATATTTCTAGCCCCTATTTATGATTTTTTTAAGGTAGGATCTTACTATGTAGCCCAACTTGTGATCTTCCTGCCTCAGCCTCCTGAGTGCTAGGATTATGGGCCTGCACACTGTCCTAGTTTGTTCTTCATTGCTGTGACAAAATACTCTGACCACTACCAACTTGGGGAGGATAGGGTTTATTTAGCTTACATATCCTGGGTCACAATTCATCCGGGAGCCCAAGGTAGGAACTCAGGGCAGGAACCTGGAGGCAGGAGCTGGAACACAGCCCATGGAGGATCACTGCTTACTGGCTTGCTCTCTGGCCCCTTGCTCAGCCTGCTTTCTTATGCAACACAGGCCCACCTGCCCAGGGGTGGCACCACCCACAGTGGGCTGGGCCCTCCCACATCACTCATCAGAAGATGACCCACAGACATGGCCACAGGCCAGTCCAATAGAGACAATTCCCCAATTAAGGCTACCCCAACCCAGGTGTGTCAAGTTGACACTAAAGCTGTCCAGCACAACCACCATGTCCAGATTTTGCTTTTACTTTTTGTGTCAAGTCTCTGTGTCCTCCACCGCCCAGGAACAGAGACTTCATTTGTTTTCTTCACCTCAGTCTCCTACATGCCTGTAACCAACCTCAGACCTGAGGACTGTACTCTCCCAAGAGCAGTGTCATCTGAGTTTGGTTCCTAGCACCTGCAGATGAATGGCTCACAACCACCCGAAATTCCAGGTCCAGGGGATCTGAAGCCCTCTTCTGGCCTCTAACAGTACCTAAACTCATATTCACATACAGACAGACAGATACACACAGACAAAATAAAATAGATTCTTTTTTTTTTCGGTCTTTTTGAGACAGGGTCTCCCTGTAGCCCCAGCTGTCCTGGAACTCACTATGTAGACCAGGCTGGCCTTGAACTCACAGAGATCTGCCTGCCTCTGCCTCCTGAGTGCTGGGATTAAAGGCGTGCACTACCACACCCGGCAGAAGTCTGTATTTTTATGTTTAAAAAACAAGGCAAATGGTTGGCATCGGGCTGTGATCCCTGTGCATACTTGAGAGGCTGAGGCCGGAGGATTGATTGCCATGAAAGGCCAGTCTGGGCTACATAGAAAGACACTGCCTCAGAAAAAAGAAAAATTACCAATAGAGGGCTGCAGAGATGGTTCAATCAGTATAGGGCTTTTGGGAAAAGCCTGAGTATCTGAGGCTTTTATCACCCATCTGAAAAAAGCCAGGCACCTTGACACAAACCTGTAATCCCACCACTGGGGAGGCAAAGACGGGGGAGGGGAGGGGATTCCTGGAGATCACTGGGCAGAAGTTTAGCTGAAACAGACAGGTCCAGGTTCAGTGAGAGACCTTGTCAGAAAATGTGGAGGGCTAGCAAGGTGTCTCAGTGAGTACAGATACCTGCAGCCAAGCCTGACAACATGAACTCAATTGCTGGGACCCACGTCATGGAAGTAGAGAATTGACTCCTGCAAATTGTCCACTGACCTCCAAATGTGCACCATGACATACATGTATGCACATACACATAAATGTAAATAATTTTTGGTCTTTTTGAAACAGGGTCTCTCTGTAGCCCCAGCCCACCTGGCACTCACTATGTAGACCAGGCCGGCTTCAATCTCAGAGATTCGCCTGCGTCTCTGCCTCTTGAGTGCTGGGATCAAAGGTGCGCTCCACCACGCCCAACTGTAAATAATTCTTTTAAGTATATAATATGAAAAGGGAAAGAGGACACACCCAGTGTCGACCTATGACCGCCTCATACACAATCACACATGCTTACACAGTGACTTCACACACACACACACACACACACACACCCCAAAATATTCATTCAGACACACACAAAAAATGTCGTGGATAAACAAACTTAAGTTTGTGTTGTATGACAATATACCTGGGGAGATGGAAACAAACACCTACTCAGTCCAGATAGGGAACTGATAACAGGCTGAAGTAAGGCTACCACCAAAGACCAACTCAGTGAACCAATGAGTTTACTGTATGAGGGGTGACTTACAGAAATATGGACAGCCGAAAACCCACCCTAGCATGAGTGATGAAAGCTTTTGTTCTCTGAACCGCTTGCCAGCAGCTCAACAGATCAGAGACTCTCTTTAGGAGTCCTTACTGCTTATATAACCCAGGTGTCCTGGTTCATTTTTAGTGTCAACTTGAAACAACCTAGAGTCACCTGGGAAGAGGGAACTCAATTGAAGACTTTCTCAGACTAGATTGGCCTACAGCCATGTCTGGGAAAGACTGTTTTGTTTGATGATCAATGTGAGAGGGCATAGCCCGCTGTGGATGGCCCCATCCCTAGGCAAGTGGGCCTGGGCGGTGTAAGGAAGGTAGCTATGGGGGCTGGAAAGATGGCTAAGTGGTTAAGAGCACTGGTTGCTCTTGTAGAGGACCCAGGTTCAGTTCCCAGCACCCACATGGAGGCTAACAACTGTTACTCCAGTTCCAGGGGATCCAACACCCTCTTTGACCTCCATGGGCACTGCACGACATGGGTATACTTATATACATGCAGGCAATGCACGCATATGCATAAAATAAAAATAATAAATAAAAAAAGAAAGGTAGCTGTCAGCACTCAGGAGGTAGAGGCAGGCAGATCTCTGTGAGTTCCAGGCCAGCTTGGTCTACATAGTGAGTTCCAGGCCAGCTGGGGCTACAGAGAGATCTTGTCTCAAAAAGACCAAAAAAAAAAAAAATCAATTTGGAGAAGTTGCTGCACAACAATATGAACAAGGGAAATTTACAATGAATCAAAACAAAATACTACTTTTAATGATCAAGGAATTCTATGTAAAATTGCACCGAAATATTTGGAAGCAAACATGAAATTTCTTTTTTTCTGGTCTTTTTTTTCTTTTTCTTTTTTCCCCTTCCCTTCTGAGGGGAGGGAAGATTGCAGGAGTGGGTGAGTTCTGACTAGCTCCCCAGGGTGTCAAGTCACAGTGGTTCCTGTCCTGGTGAGGCATGGCAACAGTTACTTTTGATTGCACAAAACTTACATTTGTCTTCCTCTAAGTTTGAGCTATATTCAATTTTGCAATATATGCCTTCACAGTATTTTAAAATCCATTTTTTGGTCTTTTTGAGACAGGGTCTCCCTATAGCCCCAGCTGTCCTGGAACTCACTATGTAGACCAGGCTGGCCTTGAACTCACAGAGATCTGCCTGCCTCTGCCTCCCAAGTGCTTGAATTAAAGGCGTGCACCACCATGCCCGGCAAAATCCCATTTTTTAATAAAGTCCTTCTGAAAATATTACCTGATTCCAACAAATTAACCAGATTTTTTCACACTTTTTGGGCAGCTATACAAATTGTCCAAGGAGTTCAGTGGTAGAATTTCTACCCAGAACCCCCAGTGGGGGGCTGGGGGCGTGGCTCTGTGGTAGAGCACCTGCCTAGAATTCAGGAGGCTCTGAATTCCATCTCAAGCACCACGAAAATATTAAAATAAATTACCCCAGGGGAAAAATTAAGTGTAAAAGACAGCTTTGGTCTTAATCATTGATACATGACAATTTTATATAAGCTACCAAGGAATAAAATATGTACTACTGAGGCCCCAATATGGGTTTCTCTATCAAATACAGTAAAATAAATAAAATAGCAAAAAGAGGGGCTGGAGAGATGGCTCAGCAGTTAAGAACACTGGTTGTTCTTGCAGAAGACCCAGGTTCGAATCCCAGCACCTACATGGCAGCTAACAACTGTCCGTAACTCCAGTTCCAGGGGATCCGACGGCCTCTTCTGTCCTCTACGGGCATTACACGACATGAGTGTACTTATCTACACTTACCTACACGCAGACAACACATGCATACACATAAAATAAAAATAATAAATTATTAAATTTTTTTTAAATTTTAAATAGTAAAAAGGGTGTCCAGGGTGCTGTGGAGAGATGGCTCAGCAGTTAAGAGCACTGGCTGCTCTTGCAGAGGACCTGGATTCAGTTCCCAGTACTCACATGGCAGCTAAGAACTGACCATAATTCCAGTTCCAAGGGATTTAACACCCTCTTCTGACCTCCATGGGCATTGCACGACATGGGTGCATTTAATATATATGCAGGCAATATGTTCATACATATAAAACAAAAGTGATTTTTTTAATATTTATTTTTTTTTTATTTTATGTGTATGCATGTATTGCCTGCATGTGGGTAAGTGCACCCATGTCATGCAATGCCCATGGAGGACAGAAGAGGCCATCAGATCCCCTGGAACTGGAGTTACGGACAGTTGTTAGCTGCCATGTGGGTGCTGGGATTCAAACCCAGGTCATCTGCAAGAACAGCCAGTGTTCTTAACCACTGAGCCATCTCTCCAGCCCCATAACAAAAGTAATTTTAAAAAGGGTGTCTAGAAAAACAATTTAAAAGACACACACAAGATGCTTACTGGGATGTAGTTCGGTTGGTAGGGTTATTACCTAGTGTGAATGAAGCCCTGGGTTTGGTCCCCAGCAAAACATAAATCAGGTGTGGTGATGCACACCTGAAATCCCAGAACTCAGGAGATGAAGGCAGGAAGATCAGAAGTTGAAAGTCATCCTTGGCTACGCAGCAAATTTGAGGCCAGCCTGGGCTCCCATAAGACCCTACCTCAAAATAAATCAAAACAGATATCCAAACCAAAGTCAAGACCTGGAGATTTGTAGAAGAAAGCTGGCTGGACACAACATGTCACAGATACTAAAATCCCCCAAACCTGGGGTTGGAGGGCAGGGATTTGCTCAATACACAGTCCATACTTGTATGAAAAACTTTTAATAACCTTTTAAAGATCCCCCCACAACAAAAGACATCAGCAACATCAAAGAACCCAAAGTCCAGCTAGAAAATTAGGGTATCGACAAAGAAAATACAATGCTTTCTAAGCCGTTGGATGGAAAGGGAGAGTAGAGACTAGGTTGGGCCAACAACATGGCTGAGCAGTAAAGGTACTTGCAGCCAAACCTGAAGACCTCTCAGTTCAACCCCTAAGACCCGCATAGTGGAAGGAGAGAATTTACCCCCAAAATTTGTCCAGTTGTCACCACTGGGGGAATTTAGAGTTCATTTGAAAAACTGTGTTCAAGAGGTTGCAAGAAAGGAAAAGCCCTTCTCCCAGGGACAGATGAGGATCAGGGAGGGCTCCCTGGAGGAGGAACACTGGCTTCTTCTCTGCTTAGAACAGTTCTCCCCAGATTTAAAAGAATGGGTCTTCTTCTCTTATTCAAGTTTTGGCTCAGATGTCACCTTTTCTGAAAGGGACTAGCTTGGTTGACCTAGGCTGCCCCAACCAGCCTTCTTTGATCCCCTCTGCTAAATACCAGCTCCTAAGGAGAGGAATTGTACTGGCCACAGCTGTCCTCCAACACCTGTATCGGTGCTTGCCATAAACAAGCGTAGGATGAATGTTTATTGAATGAAGACTAAAACAAAGTCATCATTGAGCTCCTGGATCTAGCTATGCCTGAAGCCAGACCCAGGAAATTCAAATCCAATGTCCCTGTTGCCTATAGCTCCATCTCAGATATTATCTCATGGCTGGTGGGTGTCTTGGTTATACTTTCCTCATTCTGTGGCTCCCTCAGGGCCCAGTGACATGCAGCCCTTAATGACTTACGGAGTTGACCCCTCCCAAAATACAGAAAGATAATCGGGTTCAGAGAGCTGTGAGCAAGGGCCAGCCCTACAACTAGGGGCTCAGCTTGCAGAGCCCGGGCAAGAAGTGGGGAGTGGGGAGCGGCCACAGTAATCACAACCCCCAAGACATGGTAAGGGGTCCAGCAGATGAAAAACCCTACCATGATGGCTGTGCCCAATGGCCAGTGACGTTGGCCCATCCAGCACTGGAGGACACCGTGGCAGCTAGCCATGAACACCAGGGGCCCCAGGAAGCCAAAGAGAAACCTGACAGCAGTGACTGAGGCTTCTGCAGTCACAGAGCCTCCATAGTTGATGACACACTGCAGCTGAGAGGGGTAATGCTCCTGAATCAGTTGGCGGTGGATAGCAGTAGGCACCGTTAGTAACAGAGCTAACACCCAGACAGTGACCTGGGCCACCCGTACCCCAATCTTCCGGCGAGCTGTATCCCACCAGGGGAGCCTGGAGGCCAGCAGGCAGAGGTCAGCACTAAGGGCAGTCAGGAGCAGCACGCTGGTGTACATGGACAGGAGAATGACAGAGGGCAGAAGCCGGCAGCCCACTGCCCCATAAGGCCAGTGGCCCTTTTGAGCAATGGGCACAGCCAGAATGGGCAGAGCCAGACAGCAGAGCAGGTCAGCCACGGCCAGGTGCAGGAACCAGGAGGCCCAAAGTCTGTGGCGGGACTCTTTCCCGGTCACCCAAGCCACCATGGCATTGCCTGGAATGCCCACCAGGAAGATGACAGCATACAGGAGCAGAGGGGCCACAAGATGGATGTTGCTGGAGACGCAGGAACCATCTAGGCAATCTACAGGGTCATCAGGAAGGTGACTGTAATCTGCATCCTTGTACTCAGCATAGGCTTGGGAATACTGCTCCTCCATCGGGGCCTGGGACACCTGCAGGGAACAGAGAAGAGAGGACTCCGGGAGAGCTTTGCCCTCCTGGTGCAGAGCAGACCCAGCTCTAGACTAGAGATTCCAGGGCTGCAACATTAGAGTGACAGCACATTAGAGTACCAGCTTTCCAGCATACTGTGATAGCCAGGCGTAGCGCCCCAGGCCTTTAATCCCAGCACTCAGGAGGCGGAAGCAAGAGGATCTCTGTGAGATAGAGGCCAGCCTAGTCTATGTAGCCAGTTCCAAGCCAGCTGGGGCTACAAGGTGAAACTGTCTCAAAAAGACAAACAACAGGGGCTGGAGAGATGGCTCAGCGGTTAAGAGCACTGACTGCTCTTACAGAGGACCCAGGTTTGATTCCCAGCACCCACATGGCAGCCATGAACCGTCCTTAACTCCAGTTCCAGGGGAATCCAAAGCCCTCTTCTGACCTCTGAGGCACTGCGTGACACGGGTGTGCTCACATACATGCAGGCGATACACTCGTACACATAAAATAATAAAACATTTTTAAGAGGACAAAAACAACAACAAAACCCAATATATCGTGATGGTTAATGTCAAATGTCAACCAGATAGATTCCAGAAGCAAATGAGTGATAGGCCTCTGGCCATACCTGTAGGGGATTGTCCTGGTTGGTTTTCACTGTCAATGTGATTCAACCTGGGAAGAGGGAACCTCCATTGAACTTCCATTGAAGAATTCCCAGATCAAATTGGCCTGTGGGCATGTCTGAGGGGAACTGTCTTGATTGATGATTGATGTGGGAGGTCCCAGATCACTGTGGGCTGCACCATGCCTAGACATATGATCCTGAGCTGTGTATGAAAGGTAGCTGAGGGCTAGAGAGATGGCTTAGTGGTTAAGAGCACTGGCTGCTCTTGAAGAGGACCCAGGTTTGATTCCCAGCAGCCAAATGGCAGCTAACAACCATCTGTAACTCCTGTTCCTGGGGATCAGACACCCTCTTCTGGCCTACTTAGGTACTGCATGTATGTGGTACACTTACATACACGTAGGCAAAACACTCATACACATAAACTAAATATAAATAAATGAAAAACATTTTATGAGACATAACCTCCCTGTATCCCCAGCTGGCCTGCGATGTAGACCAGCCTGGTCTTGATCACACAGAGAACCGCCTGCCTCTACCTCCTGAGTGCTGGGATTAAAGGCGTGAGCTACCACGCCCAGCTAAAAGAAAAATAAAATTTTAAAGAGGGAAGACTGGAGAGATGACTCAGCAGTTAAGAACACTGACTGCTTTTGCAGAGGACCTGGGTTCAGCTCCCAGCACCCACACAGTGGCTAACAACTGTACATAACTCTAGTTCCAGGGAGTTATGGAACTATCTAACACCCCCTTCTGGTCTCCACAAGCACCCTCACACGTGTACACATACATCTTCAAAATATAAAAGCAACAAGTTGGGGCTGGAAAGACAGCTCAACTGTTAAGAGCAATGGCTGCTCTACCAGACGACCCACGTTTGGTTCCCAGCACTCACATGGCTGCTAACAACCATCCATAACTCCAGTTCTAGGGGACTGACACCCTTTTCTGAACTCCCTGGGCATTGCATGACATGGGTGCACTTATGTACACGCAGGCAATACACTTATACACATAAAATAAAAATAATAGTGGCTGGAGAGATGGCTCAGCAGTTAAGAGCACTGACTGCTCTTGCAGAGGACCCAGGTTCGATTCCCAGCACCCACATGGTGGCTACGAACCGTCCTTAACTCCAGCTCTAGGGGAATCTGAAGCCTTCTTCTGGCCTCCGTGGCATTGCATGACATGGGTGCACTCACATACATGCAGGCAATACACTCATACACATAAAAATAAAATAAAATAATAAAAATTAAAATAATAAAATATTTTTTAAAAACAAATGATATAATCCAACAATAATAATAGTTTGACATTATTAGAAGGCATAATTTCTGAGTACTTTGTGCTGTTCCAGACATGCCCTGAACATTTTACCACATTGTGCTCTTTAAGCCTTCCACCAGCCCTATGACTTTGATACTATTTTATTCAGCTGATTTTGCAGCTGGAGAGGCACAGAGAGGCTGAGTCACTTACCCAAGATCTCTCAGTTAAGGGGAGGTCAGAGCTGAATTGCAAAGCATCCTAGTCCTGTGCCCTGGAATATTACCATCCCCAAATGTGAGAATCTGGAAATCGGAAGGCCATTTACAGCTGGAAGCCCTAAGCCAACTCTGGCTCTGTGACTTTCAGTGGCAGTCGCTTGGTCCAATTCCTCTTCTGAGAAACAAGTCCTGGGACCTGGCTCACCAGTTTGATGAGATCTTGAGGACTTAATACATCAGAGACACATGACAAGGGAGCAGGCAGCTTCTGGTAGGACAAGGAGAGGGCACACCCCACCCCGTGTCAGTGGCCAGACCCTGTAGTTCTCCTCTGACTATTATGGGCTGTCTGCCCTGCCCAGGGCGCCAGCACTGACAAAACAGGAAGGACGGAGCGGAAGTCGAGACACTCCCAGCTCTGCCAAGTGCCCAGCTATGAGGCCAAGCCAGCCTGTCACATAGTTTTTCATCCTTAGAGGAAAATGTGCCTGGTTTTTTAAAACTTATCTGTCATCACAGCCAGGCATGGTGGTGCATGCCTTTAGTCCCAGCACTCGAGAGGCAGAGGCAGTTGGATTTCTGTGAGTTCAAGGCCACCTTGGTCTACATAGTGAGTTCCAGGACAGCTGGGGCTACAAAGAGACCCTGTTTCAAAAAAAAAAAAGACCAAAAAAAACCCAACTTACCTGTCATCCAGCATGTGGAGGCTGAGGCATAAGGATTGCCATGACTTTAAGGCCAGCCTGGGATATAGGGTAAGACTCAGTCTCAAGAAGGAAAAAAAGAAAAAGAAAAGCAGGGCCTGCAGAGATGCTCAGTGCTTAAGAGCACTGGCTGCTCTTGCAGAGGACTCAGGTTCAGTTACCAGCACCCACATGGCAGCTCTCAACTATCTGTAACTCCAGTTCCAGGGATTCTGAAGCTGTTTTCTGCTCCACAGGATCCTGCTCGCACATAATACACATAAACTCATGCAAGCACACACACACACACACACATACATATAAAAATAAGTAAAACTTTATTTTAAAAGCAAAATAAGCCTGGCATGGTGGCACATGCCTTTAATTCCAGCACTCTCTGAGTTCGAGGCCAGCCTGGTGTACATAGTGAGTTTCAGGCCAGCTCAGGCTACATAATGAGACCCTGTTTCAAAACAACAACAACAACAACAAAAAAATCCCAAACCAAAAACAAAAAAAGCAAAACAAAACAAATTCAAAAGTAAAACTCAAAGCCTCTACAGCTATGTGGCCTTCAGTAAACTAACTAACCTCTCTGTGCTTCCTCTATAAAGAGGAGTAATTATGCACCTACCTTAGGGAGCACTGTGAGGATTCAATATGGTCAATGAGTCAGCTAGGGAGGGAATGGCTGTCACAGTGATGGCCCACATGGAGCAGTGTGTGTGTGTGTGTGTGTGTGTGTGTGTGTGTGTGTGTTAGCTGCTTTTATCATCAGCCACACATCCCCCATCTCTTCCCCCCTCCAACAGACCACACCCTATACAATTATTGCTGATAACAATCCTGAAAACTTTTTGTACTCAGTCTCATACCATGCCTGGTATTTCCTCTGCAAACACAGACAGGCAATTCTGAGTCCTCTCTCCCTCTCCCTTCTCATGCCCCAGCCCCTCACTGGGGGATTCTAGGCAGGGGCTCTACCATTGAGCCACACCCCAGCCCCTCACTGGGGGATTCGAGGCAGATGCTCTACCACTGAGACACAACTCCAGCCCCTCACTGGGGGATTCTAGACAGGTACTTTATAGCTATACCATGCCCAAGTCTTTTTTTTCTCGAGTCAGTGGTCTCACTATGTCGCCCAGGCTGGCCTCAAACTCTGCCTTCTACTTTGGCCTCCGAGGCTGGGGTTTCCATCCTGCACCAGCACACACTTCTGTTCCATATTTTAATCAGTTTCCCTTCTATCTACACATCATAAGAGCTTCAAAAACAGACTTCTAGATGTATATTCACAGTAGGGAGCCAATTTCAGACTAAAGGATATTAAATAATGACAGAGCTGGGTGTGGTGCCTCACGCTCCTGGTGCAAATTCAAGACCATCAAGACATAGTCAAAACATGCTCAGAAAGCAAATAAATTTAGCCAGTACACACCATAAATCCCAACCCTTGGGAGGCAGAGGCAGGCAGATCTCTATGAGTTCAAGGCCAGCTTGGTCTACACAGTGAGTTCCAGGTCAGCTGGGGCTACAGGGAGACCCTGTCTCAAAAGAACCAAAAGAAAATTAAATAAATAAATAATAAATAAATAAATAAATAAAAATAGACTATAGGGGCTAGAGAGATGGCTAAGCAGTTAACAACACTGGTTGTGCTTGCAGAAGACCCGGGTTCAAATCCCAGCACCCACATGGCAGCTAACAACTGTCTGTTACTCCAGTTCCAGGGTATCCGATGGCCTCTTCTGTCCTCTGTGGGCATTGCATGACACTGGTGCACTTACCTACATGCAGGCAATACACACATACACACAAAATAAAAATAAGTAAAAAAATTTTTTGAGACAGGGTCTCCCTGTAGCCCCAGAGTAAAATATTTAAAAAAAAAAAAAACAGAATAGGCGCTGGAGAGATGGCTCAGTGGCTAAGAACACTGACTGTTCTTGCAGAAGACCTGGGTTCGAATCCCAGCACCCACACGGCAGCTAACAACTGTCTGTAACTCCAGTTCCAGGGGATCCGACAGCCTCTTCTGTCTTCCGTGGGCATTGCACGACATGGGTGCACTTACTTACATGCAGGAAATACACTCATACACACACACAAAAAAAATTGAATATAGTGCTCACTTCAGCAACACGTATACTAAAACTGGAACGATACAGAGGAGATTAGCATGGCCCCTGTGCAAGGATGACACACAAATTCGTGACGCGTCCCATATTTTTTTAAAAAAAATAGAATATAAATAAATATAAATATAAATAAATAGAACAGAAAGAAAAGCCCAGATCTAAGCCGTTACAATTGTAGCTCAGTGGTCTAATGCTTTGTTCCACCAGTGAGGGCTCAGTGGTAGAGTGCTGGCCTGGCATGCATAAGGTTCTGGGTTCAACTCCCACCACCACCAAAAAATAAAGCACTGAGAAAAAAGTGCACACATGTTTATCAAAACATGCACTAAGGCCAATGAGATGATCCAGTAGGTAGAGGAACTTGCCACCAAGCCTGATGACCTGCGTTCAACCCTTGGGACCCACATGGTAGAAGGAGAGAACTGATTACCACAAGATGTTTTCTGACTTCCATACACAAGTCACGGTGTGCAGGAGCCCATATAAATCACACACACACACACACACACACACACACACACAAATAAATAAATAAATAAATAAATAAGTGTAAAAAACACTCTGAAAATCTTTTATGATTTTGAATACAAAAATGAGCTGGGTGTGGTGGTGCATGGCTTTAGTCCCGGCACTTGGGAGGCAGAGGCAGGCGGATCTCTGAGTTCAAGGCCAGCCTGGTCTACATAGTGAGTTCCAGGACAGCTGGGGCTACAGGAAGCCCCTGTCTCAAAATACAAAAAGAAAAAAAAAATCAAAGAGGGAGAAAGAAGAGGAGAAAGAAGAGGAGGAGGGAAGGGAGGAGGAGGAACTAAAGGAGGAGGAGGAGGAAGAGAAGGAGGAAAAAGAGGAAAAGAGAAGGGAGGAGGAGGAAGAGGAGGGGGAGAGCCTGTCTCAAAGACAAAAAGAAAAAGAAAAAAGAGAAAAAAGAATACAAAAATGGATGAAGAGTTTCTAACCCTTTGCAGTCCCCAGAGCATTTGGGGACTGTGGCTCAGACTACAATGCTCTAACAGGGGCTCATTTGATTTATGAGGAGCACAGAGCTGCCCAGTTCCAACATGGACACATGCCCCATCAGAATACTGTGACCACGCTGTCTTAGGAAGCAGGGTTTGGAGCCAACGGACTCGCCCATGGTACAGCCTAAACTTTGGAGAACTCTCCCCAAACTACAAGAATTCCTGAAGGTCTGAGAGGCCACTGAACTGCTGCTGACTGTGGTCAAATGTTTACCTTAATTGGGTGTTTTCTGCCCTAGCCACTTCCAAGAATCTGAGGCTCTGATGTGCGTTCCAAAGATGTGATGATAAAATTTTCTATCCAGAGAAGCAGTGGATAAAGTACCTGAGCTCCACCCCCAACACCCCCCAACACCCCCAAAACCAAGTGGCACATGCCAGTAATCCCAGTACTCTGAAGGTGGAGATAGGAGAATCAGGAGTTCAAGGTCATCCTCTGCTACTTAGGAAGTTTGAGGCCAGCTTGGGCTACATGAGACCTAGTCTCAAAAACAATAATAATAGGGGCTGGAGAGATGGCTCAGCAGTTAAGAGCACTGACTGCTCTTGCAGAGGACCCTGGTTCAATTCCCAGCACCCACATGGCAGCTATGAAACGTCCTTAACTCCAGTTCCAAGGGAATCCAAAGCCCTCTTCTGACCTCCACAGCATTGCACAACACGGGTGCACTCACATACATGCAGGCAATACACTCGTACACATAAAATAAAAATAATAAATATAATAATAGGAATAATAATAATCCACATCTGGAATTCTAATTCTGACTCTAAGAAGCGAAATCCTGAGCTCCCTCGGCCCTTCCTCTCACCCTCTCTTCCCCTCCACTCTTACCATCTCTTCCAACTTGACCAAATGCCACTTGCAAGCACAGTCAGAGCCCACACGAAACAATGGGGAGGTCCAGGGTCTTTCCCACAGGGATGATGGGGTCCTGGCAATCCACCCCATTCACCCAGATCCTATGGGATTCTTCAAGGGCCCCAGGAAATATCATAACCAGGAAAAACAGGCGTGGCCTCCTCCCACCCCAGGGATGTGTTTGTCCTGTCTTTCTCCAGTGAGTCACAAAACCCGAAATTACAGGACAGTTAGGTTGGAGAAACCTCGGGTATGGTGAGCTGGCCAGTGTCCCCACCTCCTCTCCATGTCACTGGGTTCCCAGAAGACAGATCTGTGTGAACTTTGACCTTCAAGGCGTGGCGTGGCTTCCCACTTCCCCACGGAGCACCTGAGGCTCTACTGGGACCTGTTGCCCACTGACCCACTCCTGACCTGTAATTCTGCTCTCAGGCCCTCCTGTCTGCCAGCTACAGACTAATAAATACCCTTCCTTCCTCAAATGTTCCAAAGATGACAGCTTAGAGTCACTCCTGCACAAAAATATCAAGAAGCCAAGCCCAAGGGCCTGAGCCTCTGGTACACAAAATCCAAGTCCTGTCCCCTCTCTGGGCCTCCATTTTCCTCCCATAGCAGGCATGGGGGAACTCATCTGCCATCCCAGCACTCAGAAACAAACACAGGAAGATCTCATGCTCAGGGTCAGCCGGAGGTATGTAGCAAGTGGCTGTTCCAAAATACTAACATCATAGCCAGGCCTGGTCACGCACGCCTTTAATCCCAGCACTTGGGAGGCAGAGGCAGGCGGATCTCTGTGAGTTCAAGGCCAGCCTGGTCTACATAGTGAGCTTCAGGACAGCTGGGGCTACAGGGAGACCCTGTCTCAAAAAGACCAAAAAAAAAAAAAAATACTAACATCAGGGGTGGGTAGATGGCTCTGTGGGTAAAGTGCTTGTCACACAAGTGTGAGAACCTGAGTTGGAATCCCCAGAGCCCACATAAAAGCCAGCCCCAGTCAGGCAGGCCTGCAATCTCAGCACTCCTATAGGGAGCTAGGAAGCATACAATCCTCAGATGCTCATGGGCAGATAGCCTCGGGTGGGCACATGCGAACAGCAGACTCAAGGCTGTCCTCTGACATCCATATGCATTCTATGGCTCTCACGAACCTGCACACACACACATGCACACATACCTGCACATTGACACACACGTGCACACCAGCACATATATACCTGCACACACAAACACATCAGTACACACCCACTTGCACATATGCACATACACACACACATGTACCCACATGCACACACACTCACACACATGCACAGGCACATATACACTCATGCACATGGATGCACAGATGCACAGATGTACACACACCATCACACACAATCACACCAGTACACACACCTGCACACATGTACATATGCATGTACACATGGGAATGCATGCACATGTACACACATGCACACACACTCACACAAGTGCACACATCCACAAGCATACATGTACACACATTAGCACATACATGCACTCACAGACATGAACAAGTGCTTGCACACATATACATACACAAATGCACACATACCCATGCATACACTTACATGTGAACACACACACACATGCACACAAACCTGCGATGCACATACACACATGCACACCCGCACACACAAATGCACACACACACAGTGCTGGCTGAGGTCACTTAGCAAGATGCAATAGCTCCGACCCCTTCTCAGTGTCTTCACTCAGCACTTCTTGGTTACACAGCTCTCGATGCACGCATAAGGCCTGGAGGGGACATAGTCATGAGGTTCTTCTGTTGTTAATTTGGAGCATGATGTCACGTTAGAGGAAGTGGAGTCTCAGTTAACAGGCTGCAGAAACTAGGGGCTACAGTGAGATCCTGTCTCAAAAAAAAAAACAAAAAATTAAATTTAAATATCTTTGAGACAGGGTCTCATTATGTAGCCTTGACTGGCCTGAAACTCTCTATGTAGACCAGGCTGGCCTAGAACTCGCACAATGATCTACCTACTCCGCCTCCTGAATGCCGAAATTGAAGGCATGCACCACCACACCTAGTTACCTACATGCCTTCTTTTCTAAATCTAGATTCTGCATATGAAACAAAACATGCAATTTTTGTCTTTCATTGAAGATTTGTTTTATTATTTAAGTGTATGTTTGTGTATCTGTGTGTATATACCACATCTGTGCAGGTGACTGAGGAGGTCAAAAGTGGGCCTCAGATCCCCTGGAGCTGGAGTTACTGGAGGCTTTGAGACACCTGATTTGTGCTGGTTACCGAACCCTGGTTCTCTACAAGAACAGGAATTGCTCTTAACCATTGAGCATCTCTCTAGCCTCCAATATTTGCCTGTCTGAGTCTGTTTTATTTCACTTGCTACATTGATCCACCCATTTCCCTGCAAATCACATAATTTCATTCTTCGTCACTGAATAAAGCTCCACTATGTATAGATACCACATTTTCTCTTTTTAAAATATTTTACTATTTTTATTTTATGTGTATGAGTGCATTGCCTGCATGTATATAAGTGCATCCATGTCATGCAATGCCTGCAGAGGTCAGAAGAGAGCATCAGATCCCCTGGAACTGGAGTTACAGACGGTTGTTAGCTACTTTGTGGGTACTGGGTACTGAACCCAGGTTCTTTGTAACTGCTGGGCCATCTCTCCAGACCGAAACCACATTTTCTTTATCCACCTGCTGATGGGCATCCAGGCTGAGTGCCCAGCTTGGCTGTTGTGAAGAGAGCTGCAGTGAACATGTTATGTGGTGGGTCTGCTGCTCTACCAAGACTTTTTTTTTTTTTTTTTTGCCTTTTTTGCCTTTTTGAGACAGGGTCTCCCTGTAGCTCCAGGTGGCCTGGAACTCACTATGTAGATCAGGCTGGCCTCGATCTCGCAGGATCCGCCTGCCTCTGTTTCCCAAGTGCTGGGATTAAAGGATGTACCACCACACTCAGCCCTATTTATTTATTTTTAAAGATTTAGAGGCAGCTAGAAGATGACTCAGCAGTTAAGAGCACTGGCTGCTCTCACAGCATACCTGGGTTTGGTTCCCCAGCATCCACATAACGCTAAAAACTGTCTGTAACTCCAGTGCCAGGGGATCCAATGCCCTCTGACCTCCAGAGGCATTGCATGACACAGGCGCACTTGAACACATGCAAGCAATACACTCATACACATAAAATTTTTAAATTATTTTTCAAGATTTTAAAAAAATTTTATGTATATGAGTGTTTTGCCTGCATGTATGTAAGAGTACCACATGCATGCAGTTTCTATAGAGATCAGAAGAGGATGTCAAAGCCCCTGGAACTGGAGTTACGGATGGTTGTAAACCACCATGTGGGCACTGAGAACCAAATCCAGGTCTTCCGCAAGAGCAACAAGTCTTAATCATTGAGCCATCTCTCCAGTCCTAAGATTGATTTTGTTTTGTTTTATTTTTTATTTCTTGAGACAGGGTCTCCCTGTAGCCCCAGATGGCCTGCAACTCTCTATGTAGACCAGGCTGACCTGGAACTCACAGAGATCCACCTACCTCTGCCTCTCAAATGCTAGGTTAAAGGACTATGACACCATATCAGCTGTTTTTATTATTTTATTAATCATGTGTGTGTGTGCATGTGTATCTGTGCATAGGTATGTGCATATGAGTGTAGGTGAAGACCAGAGAGGGCGTCAGATCTGCTGGAGTCATAGGCGGTTGTGAGCCACCCAATGTGGGTGCTGGGAACTGATAGGTAAAAATTTGGTGGAGAGCGAGTGAGAGCGAGCGAATGGAGGCTGAGGCACCGAGGCACAGATAAAACTCTCAGCAGGATAGAGATTTATTTCACAAGGGACACATTCCCTTCAGGGAAGGGAAAATGTCAGCTCATGGGTTGTGAGCTGGGACTTATATATGGGGGCTTCAGGGTGCAAAAGGAGGGGCAGTTTTTGGGAAAAATCGAGCAGGGGGAAGCAGGAAAACGGGGCTTGTAAACCTGGCTCTGTTCCATCTGCCAGCCAGGATCTGGGTCTGGAAGTGTTTACTTTTTTGTCCTCTTAAGATAAGGGAAAAGCTGCTGTGCTAAACAGCTCCTAAAATCTCTGGTTAACAGGTAGAATCTGCTTATCTTGTCTTTGGAGATCAGAGGAAAGGCAGGCTGCTTCTTAGAAGAGTCTGTTTCCCTTAACTTCAAAGGCCAAGGTGCTTATCAGCTCAGTTCCCTTTTTCAGGCTTCAAAAGTCCATAGGTCCCTGTTGGGGAGTGGCGGGGAGCTGCTGCTGTTTGAAACCCTAATAGGAACCAAACTCAGGTCTTTTGCAAGAGCAGTACATGCTATTTAATTGCTGAGCCATCTCTTCAGCCCCCACCATTTTTTTCACCTTGATTTGGGGGGGGCTTTGTTTTGTTTGAGACAGAGTCTCCCTATAGCCTCCCCCCCCTAGAACTCAGTGTATAAACCAGACTGTCCTCAATCTCACAAATATCTGCCTGCCTCTCCCATCTGAGTGCTAGGATTAAAGGCGTGCACAACCACACCCGGCTTCACATTTTTCAGACAGTCTCTCAATGGGACCTGTGATTATGCAAGGCTGGCTGGCCAGCAAGCCTTAGAGATCCACAGCCCTAGAGATCCACCAGTCTCCACTTCCCCTTTGGAAGATTGCAATCCCATGCTACCATGAGCAGGTTTTTTACTTCGGTTCTGGGGATCGAACACAGGTGTTCATCTTGCCTAGTGAGCACTTTACCCATCTCCCTTATATTTCAATTCCAGCAGATTCTAATCCAGAGTTATAGTCTCTTGGGCATTAGCAACTTGAGGCTCCACGAGGTCACATGGTACCCACATGGGAGGGGAGGCAGGTCCTCTGGTCCCAGGCCTTAGGACCAGCATCTGAAAAACAGATGGGTGAACAAGAAAGAGCCAAGGGTACAGAAGGCTGGGTCTGGGGGAGGGGAGAGAACACCATACTGGACTTAGCCAAACCCATAGCCCACTTCCTTTCCTGGCCACTTCCCCTTCCAATCCTGTTGACCTAGCAGATTCCACCAGCCACACATTTTGCAATCCTCTGGACTTTCTGCCAACTTCCGTCTTGGGCAGGTTTGGTTAACCCCAGCTGCCTCAGAACACCATCTGGGTCCCAATTGATAGCCTCCCGCTGTTGTGAGACCCAACTTTTTTTTTCAAGACAGGGTCTCACATAGCCAAGACTTGCCACTCTTGTATAGCCAAGAATGTGTAGCCTTGAACTTCTGAGCCTCTTGCTTCCAACTCCCAGATACTGAGACTATAGGTATGGCTTTGTGCATGCTAGCCCAAACGCTCTACCACCTGAGCTACATCCTAACCTGAGTTAGCTCTTTTTTTTTGGTGTTTTTGAGACAGGGTTTCCCTGTAGCCCCAGCTGGCCTGGAACTCACTATGTAGACCAAGCTGGCCTTGAACTCACAGAGATATGCCTGCCTCTGCCTCCCAAGTGCTGGGATTAAAAGCGTGTGCCACCACGCCCAGCAATTGCTATTTTTATAGAGGACCCAAGTTCGGTTCCCAGTTGGACCCATGTCCAGCAGCTCACACTGCCTATAACTCCAGCTTCAAGGGATTTGACACCACTGGCCTCTGTGGGCACCTGCACTCATGTAAGCAAACCCACACAGACACCCACACCCACATCCACTATAATCAATATAAGCCAGGTGTGGTGGCACATGCCTTTAATCCCAGCACTTGTGAGGCAGAGGCAGGTGACTGTGAGCTCGAGGCTAGACTGGTCTACATAGTGAGTTCTAGACCAGCTGGGGCTACAGGGAGACCCTGTCTCAAAAATACCAATAATAATAATAGTCAAGGTAAATCTTGTTCTTGGACGGTGAGGTGGCTCAGTGGGTAAAGGTGCTTGCTGCCAAGCCTGACGACCTGAGTTCAATCCCCAGGACCCACATGGTGGCAAAAAGAGAACTGACTCCCACAAGTTATCCTCTGACAGCCACATACATGCACATATACACATCCGTGCCACACACGTAAAATATATAAATGTAAAATTTTTGAAAATAACATTTCCATATATATCTTTTTAAATTTTTATTATGTAAGCCATATATAACTTTTTTTTAATCTTGGAACTAAGTTCCTGTTGAATTCCATTGAATAACATTCTTGAAAAGACTAATTGAAGAAATAAAGGATGGGTTGGGCACAGTGGCACACACTTAGAACCTCAGCAAGGCGGTAGAGGCAAGTAGATCTGGAGTTCAAGGCCAGACTCAACTATATATCTAGTTCAAGGCCAACCTGGGTTACAAGAGACCCTGTCTCAAAAAAAACAAAAACAAAAACAAAGGATAAGAAATATAGCATAGATGATTGGTGGTTGTCTGGGGTCTGTGGCTATAGCTCAGAGGTGGTGTACTTGTCTAGCATACACTAAATTCAATCCTCAGCACTACAAAAAATATATCAAATTCTCTTGCTCTCTTGTTACCCTGCCCCCAGGAGGTCACGACTGCATGAGCACCCGCCTATGCATCTGGGCAGCACAGCAGGTTCCCACATCAGAAAGAATGAGGTAACATTTTGACATTTTTCTTTAAGAAATTTTTGTCTATAATCCCAGCAGTATAATCCCGAAGGCTGAGGCAGAAGGATCTCAAGGTTGAGTTCAGGCTAAGCTATATAGTGAGTCAAGGCCAGCCTAGGCGAGGAGACACTGTCTCAAAAAGAAATCAAAGAGGGTCAGGCATGGTGGCAGACGCCTTTAGTCCCAGCACTAGGAAGGCAAAGGCAGGCAGATCTCTGTGATATTGAGGCTAGCCTGGTCTACATAGCAAGTGCCAAGCCAGCTGGGACTACAGGGAGACCCTGTCTCAAAATACAAAGAAAAAATCAAAGAGGGAGAAAGAAGAGGAAGAAGAGGAGGAGGAAGGGAGGAGGAAGAGGGGGAAGAGGAGGAAGAGGAGAGAAGGGAAGGGGGTAAGAAAAGAGAAGGGAGGAAGAAGAAGAGGGGAGAAAGACTGGAAAAGGAGACAGCCAGATCAGTGGTGGCCTTCCCTTACACTGCCTGGCTCTTCTGGACTGAGGTGTCCACCGTGGAACGTGTGAAACTCTTGTTCTCTCTGCCCACAGAGTCCTCAGTGAGCACGTTTCTGATGAGGCTGGGAAGGGACCTGCGCAGCCGTCCTTGGAAGCCATGACCAGCCAGCACATAGATAATGGGGTTGATACAGCAGTTGATGTAAGCCAAGGACACACACAGCGAATCCAGCCTCTGCACCCTTGAGAACATGGGCGAGGACGGGTACAGCAAGGCTATCATGGTCCCTGTCACCTGGTAGGGCAGCCAGAAAACAAAGAAGCTGATGACGACAGCCACCACCACCTTGAGCGTCTTGGTTGAGCGTGTGGCCTTGCGGCTCCAGGTCCGGAGCAGGAGGAAGGTATAGCAGATACTGAGTGTAAGCAGCGGCCACACGAAGCCCACTATCAGCCGGAGGATGGCCACGGCCCTCTCGATGTGGGTGCCATCCGGACCGTAGTTAACACCACAGGTCGTCCTGGGTGGGAAGAACTCATGGTTCACCTGCCGGAACATGAAGGACGGGATGGTGAGGAGGAGGGCCAGGACCCAGGCCACCCCGCAGGCCAGCCAAGCCAGGCGGGCCCCTCGGAACTTCTGACACCAGATGGGATTGAAAACCAGCAGGAAGCGGTCTGCGCTGATGGTAGCCAGGAGCAGGATGCTGGCATACAGGTTAAGCAAGATGAGCGAGGGCAGGATGCGGCAGGCCTGGTTGCTGAAGGGCCACTCGTGGTGTTGCACAAGGGAATAGAACAGGATGGGCAGCGCCAGACACGACAAGAGATCAGCTATCGCCAGGTTCAGAAACCAGATGGCGTTGATGGTCCGCCGGGCCTCGAACGCGGTCACCCACACCACCAGGGAGTTGCCTGACACTCCCACCAGGAACACGACCACAAAGATGATCAGCGCTGCAACATCCTCTGGGTGCAGCCAATGAGCAGCAGGGCCATCCACCGGCTCGTTGGGATTCAGGGTCATGTTTAAGTAGTTTAAGTAATCATAGGTATCATCGGTAGTATTATCCATGAGGATCCTAAACAGAATCAAAGAGGCAGACAGGGTATGAATTGGTAAACCCATGCGGGAGGCCTGACTCAGTCATGCGAATTTTTGCCCTAGCCCCATTTCTCTGAGCCTCAGCTCTGTCATGTGATCACCAAAGGTGGAGGGTCAGCTGGAGCCATATCCCAAGCCTGGTTTGTATATTTTCTTTTGAGAGGAGAAGATCTCTATAAGCTACCCAGGCTGGCCTCGAACTCACTCCATAGCCCAGGTTGGCCTGAAATTGTGTCACTACTCTTACCTCAGCTTCCCAAGTGCTCAGATTACAGGTGTAACCCACCATGCCTGTACTTAAATATGATTTTTTTTATTTTGGCTTTGGTTTTTTGGGGGTTTTTTGTTTGTTTGTTTGTTTTTTCCAAGACAGAATCTCTCCCTGTGGCCCCAGCTGGCCTGGAACTTACTGTGTAGATCAGGCTGGCCTCGATCTCCCAGAGATCTACCTGCCTCTGCTTCCCAAGTGCTGGGATTAAAGGTGTGTGCCACCAGGTTAAACAATGCAATATTTTAAAAATTAATACTGTCTCTGTGTGTGCACATATGCTATGGCATGTGTGGAAGTCAGAGGACAACTTTATGTCAGTTCTCTTTTTACCTTTATGTGGGTTCCAGGGATCAAACTCAGGTTGCCAGGTTTGCAAGGTAAGTACCTTTACCTGCTGAGCCATCTTACCAGCCCATCAATGCAATTTATTTTTTATCTTTTTCAAACAGGGTCTCCCTGTAGTCCCAAACTGGTCTAGAACTTGCTATGTAGACCAAGATGTCCTCAGTCTTGCAGAGATCTGCCTGCTTCACCCTCCCAGCAAGTGCTGGGATTGAAAGCATGTGCCACCACATCAGGCTTTTGTTGGTTTTTTTTTGAGACAGGGTTTCCCTGTAGCCCCAGCTGGTCTTGAACTACAGAGATCTGCCTGCCTCTGCCTCCCAAATGCTGGGTTTAGAGGCGTGCACCACCACACCCAGCCTTGTTTTTTTTTTTTTTTTTCTTTTTGAGACAGGGTCTCCCTGTAGCCCCAGCTGTCCTGGAACTCACTATGTAGACCAGGCTGGACTCTGTTTTTAGACAGGGTCTCACTATGTTGCCCTGGCTGGCCTGAAACTACTATGTAGACCAGTCTGGCCTCAAATTCAGAGATCTGCCTGCATCTGCTTCCCAAGTGCTGGGATTAAAGGAGTGTACCACCACACCCAATCAATTTTATTTTTATTTTTTATATGTATGTTTGTTTTGCCTGAATGTACAGAAGTATACACATGCATAGAAGCCCACAGTGGCAAAAAGAGGGCATCCGATTCATTGGAACTTAAGTTACAGATAGTTGTTAGTCACCATGTGGGTGCTGGGAACCAAACCCAGGTCTTCTGCAAGAGCAGTCAGTGTTCTTTACTGCTGAGCCAGCTCTCCAGCCCCTCCAGCCAATACTTTATAAAAAATATTCTATTATTTTTATTTTATGTGTATGCATGTATTACCTGCATGTAGGTAAATGCACCCAGGTCGTGCAATGCCCACAGAGGACAGAGAGACTGTCGGATCCCCTGGAACTGGAGTTACAGTTGTTAGCTGCCATGTGGGTACTGGGATACGAACCCGGGTCTTCTGCAAGAACATCCAGTGTTCTTAACTGCTGAGCCATCTCTCCAGCCCCAGTCAATACTTTTTAATTATGTGTATATAAGTGTCTGCGGGGGGTGTGCATCTGAGTACAGTGCCTTCGGAGGCCAGAGAAGGGTGTCAGATCCCCGCAAGCTGGAGTTGGTTATGAGCCATCAGATATGGGTTCTGGGAACCAAACTAGAATCCTTTTCTCTTAAGCACTGAGGGATCTCTCAAGCTCCAAATGAAATATGTCGAAGAATCCAAATATGTAGAGCATGTTGGTACACACAGGGCGATTGTCATTCGTTCTAGGCCGCTTGGGCTACGCGATGAAACTGTTTCCAAAAAAAAGATCTAATTTGTGTGTGTGTTTCTTTTAGATTTAGTTTTTTTATGCAAAGTCTTGCCTGTATCCCAGTGTGGTCTCAAACTCACTGTGTAGCAGAGGATGGCCTTGAACTCCTGATCCTCCTGCCTCTACCTCTCAAGTGCTGGGATGACAGGTGTGAGCCCTAAAACACTACCAAAACTCAAATTTTAAACAGTTTTTGCAACCCTTCATTATTGGAAGTGAAGCTTTCAGTCTTCTCACAATGGGATTCCCCATAGGGTGGGTTCACACAGGGTGTTAATACATTGGGCAATGTGGGCCTTTGTATATATTAGTTGGTGTCTTGTGGGTTTGTGGTTTTGCCTTAAAAGAGCTTTATTGCCAGGCGTGGTGGTACATGCCTTTAATCCCAGCACTCAGGAGGCAGAGGTAGGCGGATCTCGGTGAGTTCGAGGCCAGCCTGGTCTCCATAGTGAATCCAAGATAGCTGGGACTACAGGGAGACCCTGTCTCAAAAAGAGCTTTATTAAGCCAGGCATGGTGGTGCATATCTGCAACCCCAGCACTTGGGAGGCAGAGGCAGGAGAATCAGGAGTTCTAGGTCATCCTCAGTGACATAGTAAATTCAAGGCTAGCCTGGGTTACATAAGAACTTGTCTTTAAAAAAAGAAATAGGGTAGCCAGCCTTGGTGGCGAACACCTCTAATCCTAGCACTTGGAAGGCAAAGGTAGGTGGATCCTTGTGAGTTTGAAGCCAGCCTGGTCTACATAGTGAGTTCTAGGACAGCTGGGGCTACAGGGAGACCCTGTCTCAAAAAGACAAAAACAAAAAAAGAAGACGAAAAGGAAGGAAGGGAGGCAGGGAGGGAGGGAGGGAAGGAAGAAAGAGGGTGCTGGAGAGATGGCACATTGATTAAAAGCCTTGACTGATCTTGCAGAGGAACCGGGTTCAGTTCCCAGCACCCACATGGCAGCTAACAGCTGTTCATAACTCTGGTTCCAGGGGATCTGGCACCCTCTTCTGGACTCCACAGGCATTGCATGCATGAGTACACTTACATAAATGCAGGCAAAACATGCACATTAAAATAAATTTTTTGAAGCTGGGCGTGCTGGCACATGCCTTTAATCCCAGCACTGGGGAGGCAGGGGCAGGTGAATCTCTGTGAGACTGAGGCCAGCCTGGTCTACATCATGAGTTCCAGGCCTGCTGGGGCTACAGGGAGACTCTGCCTCAAAAATGCTAATATATATATATATATATATTATATATACGTCAAAGGAAAAAGTTGAAATATTTGAAATATTGCCATTGGCAAATAATCCCAGCTCTAGCCACTCACTCTGTCTTTTTAAGACAGAGTCTCTAAGTGCTGGGAGTAAAGGCGTGCACCACCACGCCTGGCTCCCCTGGCTTCTTCTTAGCACCCTGTCTTCCCATTTTCTAGCCTGGGCACACCCAGGTCTCCATGCCCAAGTCACTAAAGAGTTAATGTTAGGCCCAGCAGGAGAGCTCAGACTCTGCTTAGAGCTCTGCCCCTCAGCCTTGGTCAGTACTTTCAGTATCCGGTGTGCTGGGTTTGTCCCATGCTGGTTTCACCAGCGTGCTTGTCATCCCTTTGATGACTCAGGACCCCGAACTCCAGCCTCAAGTCCTGCTCTTCCTCCCTTGTCAGCTGACAAGCTCCCTTCCTGGCATGAGCTCCCCCATCCTTTTCTTGACTTCATGAGTCAGAAAACAAAAGATGCTGAGTCTAACCCTGTGGTTTCTAGGAGTCTCCAGATACAAACAGCTCCTGAAGCTTTGGCCTCTCATAGTCCCTGCAAACACTGGAAGTAAACTGGGTGTGGTGGCTGGGAAGCTGAGGCAGGAGGACCTTGAGTTTGAGGTCAGCCTAGGTTACCTCACCAAGATTCTGTCCAAAAATAAAGTTAAAAGAAAAGAAGGTTTGAACTAACTGGAGTGTTCAACGGAGTTAATAATGACATCTAGGTAAGAGAGCACTAGGCAATTGTTAAAAAGAATAAGGAAGTTTGTTAAAGAGTTTATGTGCAAAGACCTCCAATATCTAGAGCAAAGTTTAGAAAACCAGGAAAGAGCAGTGGTAAAGTATTGATGTCTATAGAAGGATGCATCCTCGCTCCTCTGTGTGTACTTGTGTGTGTACATGTGTGTGCATTCACATGTGTATACACAGATGGTCTCAAGAATCTTGTAGCAATGGCTGGGCATGGTGGGTCAAGCCTTTAATCCCAGCACTGGAGGCAGGTGGATGGGTCAGGCACTTTGATTCTTAGATTTATTTCCTTGAATTTGTACAATCTAAACCCAAAAGTGCTCAAATTTTAAAACAAATGAAAAGCACTTTGGGAAGCTGAGGCAGGAGGATCACTTTGAGTTCTAGGCCACCCTGGGTTAGATAGCAAGATCCTGTCTCAAAAGAAGAAAAGAAAGAAAAAAGGAGGGAAAGAGAAAGAAAGAGAGGAGGGAGGAAGAGGAAGAGGAGGAGGAGGAAGAGGAGGAGGAGGAGGAGGAGGAGGGGGAGGAAGGTATAAAGAAGTTGGATGTGGCACTGTACACCTTTAGTCCCAGAACTCAGAAGGCAGAGGCAGGCCAATGTTTGTGAGTTCAAGGCCAGTCTGGTCTACACAATGAGTTCCAGACCAGCCAGGGTTACAAAGTGAGATCTTGTCTCAGAGACAGAGAAAGAAAAGGGGGGGGGTGGTTAAGAGCACTGGCTGCTCTTGCAGAGGACCCAGGTTTGGGTCCCAGCACCCACATGGTGGCTAACAACCATCTGTAACTCCAGTTCCAGGGTATCCAACGCCCTCTTCTGACCTCCCCTCCATAGGCATTGTATGCACTGATGCTGGCGAAACACCCATATATATAAAATAATAAATAAATCCAAAAATATCTAAGAAAGAATGAATGAATATGGGCCATCGAGACAGCTGGGTGAGTCAAGGCGCTTGCCACCAAGTCTATGGGTCTGAGTTCAATCCCTGGGACCCACTTGGTGGAAGAAGAAAAATGACTCCCCCAAGTTGTCCTCTGACCATTACATATGCACTGTGACACACACACACACACACACACACACACACACACACATACACACAATTTTTTTAAAATTTTTTAAGAGCCAGACCTGGTGGCATATGCCTTTAATCCCAACACTTGGGAGGCAGAGGCAGGAGAATCTTTGTGAGTTTGAGGCCAGCCTGGTCTACCTAGTGAGTTCCAGAACAGCTGGGGCTACAGGGAGACCCAGTCTCAAAAACAAACAAAATTTAAAAATTTCAAAGAAAGGAAAAAACAAGGAATAAAGGCAAGGCAAAAGATCCAGAGCCTCTGGAGGTACAAAGTATCCAAAAGAAAACAGCTCGGTATAAGGTAGGGCTGAGGGTGGAGAACAGTGGATCCTCCCATGCACCACAGATGGGAAATACAAACGAGTAAATGTGCTGGCAGTGTATGTTAAGATAAAAATTGCCCATAGGTTGACTTCTGGAAGCCCAGTGACCAGTCCAAATGTAAAGAGAGTATAGCCTTAGTATTTTTGTTTGTTGTTGTTTTGCAAACAGACTCTGGATATGTAGACTAAGCTGGCCTTGAACTCCAAATTCTCCCTCAGCTTCCCAAGGAGCTGGCCATACCCAGCCATAGTCTTAAAAACAATTTTGGACGCAACCTAAATTTCCATTGAAAAGGGATTAAGTCTCCCATTGGACTATTACATGCCTGATAAAAAGGAAGTGGCACCCTTGAAATACATAGGAATTTCATATCCTCCTCATAGATTATTTACCATGAAATTGGTAAATCTGAAGTGCTTACTAGGATGACAGGCATTCAGTAGGAAATCAATAAAATACCAAGTAACAATGTTAAATGCTGTTTATGAGGAAGTATGTAAAATTATTTGTAAGAGCTGGGTGTGATGATGCATGCCTGTAATCTCAGCCCTGGATAGGCAGAGGAAAAAGGATCATAAGTTTTAGATTATCTTGGACTACATACATAGTGAGACCCTGTCTTAAAAGACCAAAGGATTCTGAGCATGTTGGAACATGCCTTTAATCCCAGCACTCGGGAGGCAGAGGCAGGCGGATCTCTGTGAGTTCAAGGCCAACCTGGTCTACACAGCGAGTTTTAGGCCAGCTTGGGCTACAGGGAGACCCTGTCTCAAAAAAAAAAAGACCAAAAAAAGACCAAACGCTAAGATGTAGCTCAGTGGTAGAGCCCCTGCCTAGAATCTCCCAGTGAGGGGCTGGGGTGTGGCTCAGTGGTAGAGCTCCTGCCTAGAATCACCCAGTGAGGGGCTGGGGTGTGGCTCAGTGGTAGAGAACTGCCTAGAATCCCCCAGTGAGGGGCTGGAGGTATGGCTCAGTGGTAGAGCACCTGCCTAGAATCCAGTGAGTCAACCCCAGTCCCAATCAGGCACTCTGAAGTTCAGGGGTCAACAGAGGGATCTTGGTGCTTGGAAATATTTTATGGAAAGGACAAAGGTCATGGCCAGCCCTGTTCTAGAAGCCCTGATTGCTCAGTGTAGACTATGGGAGTAGGAAGGAGGGGTGAAGCAACCTCGTACCCTCCTTGGTCTTTCGTTTCCTCTTTCTGCAGATGGCACAAGACCAGGCCCTCCTGTTACGCAGGTGCTAAATGGAAACTCTGCTAACATGGTGCTGGGACCTTGGGGAACCCAGTGATGGACTCAGAACCCATGGATGACCAGACCCTGCCACCAAGCCCAGAAGGACTCAGGCCATCAATATGCCTATCTGGGCCTCAGTTTCCCCTCTAAAGTTTTGAGTAACTGGACCGTTCTTCCAAAAAGGGTGTAGAGACTCAGTGCCTGAGATGGAACCCTGGGCCACATGCAGACGGACCAAGCACTGAGCCACAGCCCAATCTCTGAAATGGTGTCATTCTTTCTTCACTTATTCATTTTAGTCTTTTTTTTTTTTAAGGTAGTGTGACACTATGTAGCCCTGGGTGGCCTGGAACTCCCAGAGATCTGCCTTCTTCTGTTTTTTTTTTGTGTGTGTGTGTGTGTGTGTGTGTGTGTGTGTGCGTGTGTGTGTGTGTGTGTGTGTGTGTGTGTCTTTTTTGAGACACGGTCTCCCTGTAGTCCCAGCTGACCTGAACTTACTATGTAGACCAGGCTGGCCTTGAACTCACAAAGATCCACCTGCCTCTGCCTCCCAAGTGCTGGGACTAAAGGTGTGCACCCGGCTTCATTTGTTTTTTTGAGACAGGATTGCAACAAAATTGCCCAGGCATGCCTGGAACTCTGGATGACAGGTGGGAGCCACATTCTGTAACTGGTTTGTAAAATTCTTTGTTTCCTAAAACAGGGTTTCCTGGAGACCAGACAGAACTCAAAGTTGCTACATAGCCAAGGATCAAGGATGACCTTTGAACCTCCAATCCTTCCACCTCTGCCTCCCAACTGCAGAGATTACAGGTGTGTACCTCCAACCAGGTGCTGGGGATCTGACCAGGGCTTCCAGCGAGCCTGGAAGCATTCTACCACCTGACCTACATCCTCAACCCATTTGTTCTTTTTCCAGACAGGGTCTCCCTGTAGCCCCAGCTGTCCGGGAACTCACTATGTAGACCAGGCTGGCCTTGAACTCACAGAGATCCGCCTGCCTCTGCCCCCCAAGTGCTGGAATTAAAGGCGTGCACCGCCACACCCGGCTCCATTTGTTCTTTTAACACAGCCTCTCACACTGTAGCCCAGGCTAGCCTGAAACTCACTATTGTAGCTACTAGCCTCAAACTGCAGCAACCTTCCCACCTCAGCCTCTTAAAGGAGGGGGGTACAGGTGTAAGCCACCACATCCAAGTTCTATAATTCTTCATTTGAAGAGACCGAACTTCAAGGTTTCCTGCCCTGAGGAATCTTCTAGGGTCCCCAGGCCCATGAAGTCGAAATGGCTATTATTTCTCTTATCCCTTGGGTACAGGTCACCCTGGGAAAGGGGAGATGGGGAGGCCTGAGGGTAGGAGGAAGGAAGGAGCCAGAAGAGGAGCGGAGGGGCAACAGGAACCTACTCACTTTGTTCGGGGTTCCTCCTGAGTTCTGCAGTAACCTATGACAGATGGCTGAATGTCTCTCCTGTCCCCTGGGCTGTGGTTTTTAAAGCCTCAAAGAGAGATGCAGGCGGCCAGGAGGAAATGACTGTCTTGTTCTCTGAGGTTTTCATTGGTCACACTGGGTACACTGGCCAGGGTTCCCTCTTCCCGGTGCTCACCCAGGGTACCCTCAACACTGCCCAATGCTACCCACCCAGGCAGAGGAGAGAGCTCAGACTTGGAAAACAGAGGAAATCCTTGACCCCAGAAGGGAGGAAGCCTGCAGTCAGGGCCTCCTCTCCTGTCCAGGCCCAGCTGTCCTCCTGGGCTTGGTTCCCCATCCGAAAAGGATTCTCTCTGCCGCTTCCCAGGATCCCAGAGAACAGGGATGGTGACCACAGCCCCAGCCTCCCATCAAGGTGGCCTTGCACGCCAGAAAGCATGACAGGGCTGTTGAGGTGACCCAGCTCTGGAGTCTATTATACTGTTAAGTCTCCCACTGGGAGCTGGGAGTTGTGGCACATGTCTATAATCCCAGCACCTGGGAGGCTGAGGCAGGAGAATGACCCATGTGTTCCAGGATAGCCTCAAGACAAAAAACAAAAATGCTGGGGACATTGCTCAGTTGGTAGTTTTCCTGCCTGGCATGCACAAAGCCCTGGGTTCCTTCCCCAGCACCTGGCATGGTGGTAAACACCTGCCATTCCAACACTCAAGAGGCTGAAGTAGGAGGATCAAAAATTCAAAGTCGAGATGGGAGGAGGGTCTGAATATGATCATATGATCAAAATAACATTGTATGAAATTCATTTTTTTTTTTTTTTTGGTCTTTTTGAGACAGGGTCTCCCTGTAGCTCCAGCTGCCTGGAACTCACTCTGTAGACCAGGCTGGCCTCGAACTCACAGAGGATCTGCCTGCCTCTGCCTCCCGAGTGCTGGGATTAAAGGCGTGCGCCACCACACCTGGCTGTATGAAATTTTTGAATTGATAAAAAAAATTTTTTAAGTTCAAGGTCATCTTCGGCTGAATAGTGAGTTCAAATCCAACCTAAGCTACATGAGACCCTGTCAAAAAATTATAGAGAGATGAGGCCAGACATGTTGGTGCATGCCTTCAATCCCAGCACTCAGGAAGCAGAAGCACGCAGATCTCTGTGAGTTTGAGGCCAGCCTGGTCTACATAGCGAGTTCCAGGCCAGCTGGGGCTACAGGAAAACTCTGTCTCAAAAAAAAAAAAAAAAAAAAAAAAAAGACAGAGAGAACAACAGAGACAGAGAAAGAAGAAAGAGAGAGGGGAGAGAGGAAGGGAGGAAGGGATGGAGGGAAAGAAAAAAGAGGGAAGGAGGGAGGGAGGGAATTCCAGGCTGCCTGGGCTGCATATTGAGACTACGTCTCAAAAAAACAAACCTAGGGGCTGGAGACATGGCTCGGTGGTTAAGAGCACTGGCTGCTTTTGCAGAGGACCTGGGTTCAGTCTCCAGCACCTACATGGCAGATAACGATCATCTATAACTCCAGTTCCGGGGACTCTAACACCCTCTTCTGGCCTCCAGGGGCACTGCATGTGTGGGTGCACTTATATACATGCAGGCAGAACACTCACACAAATACAATAAAAATTTAATTTTTTAATTAAATAAATAAAAAGAAAATGCTTTACTCTGTCTTTATTTTTTATTTTCTTTTGGTCTTTTTGAGACAGGGTCTCCCTGAAGCCCCAGCTGGCCTGGAACTTGCTATGTAGACCAGGCTGGCCTCCATCTCACTTTGCTCTGTATTGATTGAAAGCCTTCAGCCCTTCCTAAAAAGAAACAGGGGCTGGGGAGATTCCAGTTACCTACTGTGCTGGAAAAGCAGAAGGTTGTGGAAAGTACCAAGGGAAGGCTTGGAGGAGGAAGCTGAGGATGCAGCCAGCATGGGGCCTCTGGAAAGCTGACAACCACCACAGCTCAGTAATGGAAGCTCAGTGAGTGCAGATTGCTCAGTGCCCAGCACTGCGGACTGCACATCACCAAGATCAAAGCAAGAGATGACAGAAAGCAAAACACAAGCTTGTACTAGGGTTTCTCTGAAAAGGCTAGAAGTTTGTAACTCAAACGTTCTAAGTATGGGGCTGGAGAGATGGCTCAGCAGTTAAGAGTACTGGCTGCTCTTGCAGAGGACCTGAGTTCAAATCCCAGCACCCACATGGCAGCTACCAGCCATCCAGTAACTCCAATTTCAGGGAGTCAGACACCCTCTTCTGGCCTCCACTGGCATTACATGACACAGGTGCACTTAAACATGCAGGCGATACACTCATATACATAAAAATAATTTTTTTTAAAGTTCTAAGTGTAGCCAGGTGTGGTAGCACATGCCTTTAGTCCCAGCACTTGTGAGGCAGAGGCAAGGGATCTCTGTTATTTCAAGGCCAGCCTGATCTACATAGTGAGTTCAGGCCAGCTGGCACTACAGGGAGACCCTACCTCAAAAAGACAAAAAAAAATTCTAAGTGTCTAAAGGCAAGATTCTAAGAGGTCAGTGTCACGACTGCTTGGGTTTTTCTTTATTTTCATTTATACATATGTGTGTCTGTATATGTTCACATGTGTGTAGGAAAAGAGGGCATCAAATACCCTGGAGTTGGAGTTACATGCAGTTGTGAGCTGCCTGATGTAGGTGCTGGGAATCAAACTTGGGGCATCTGCAAGAGCAGCAAATGCTCTTAACCACTGAGCCATTTTTCCAGCTGCCTAGGGTATTTTTGAGACACAGTTTCATAAAGCCCAGGCTGGCCTTGAACTTGCTATGTAATTGTCTTGGCTTTGAACTCCTGATCCTCCTGCCTCCACCTCTTGAGAGCTGGGATTACAGGTGTGTTGTCATCATACCCGCCAGGTTTATTCAGTGCTGGGACTGGAACTTTGGGCTCTTTTTTGAGACAGGGTCTCCCTGTAGCCCCAGCTGGCCTGGAACTCGCTATGTAGACCAGGCTGGCCTTGAACTCACAGAGAGTCACCTGCCTCTGCCTCACAAGTGCTGGGATTAAAGGCATGTGGCACCACACCCAACATGGAACTTGGGACTTGAAGCAAAGCAAGCACTCTACCAACTGAGCTGCCCCAGGTTTTGGTTTCTGTTTAATAAATTTTTTCTTTGCATTTCACACATATGTAAGAAATTGAATTTTTTTAATTTTATGTGTACAGTGTATTGCCTGAATGTATGTGAGTGCACCCGTGTCGTGCAATGCTGCAGAGGTCAGAAGAGGGCTTCGGATTCCCCTGGAACTGGAGTTAAGGACAGTTCATAGCCGCCATGTGGGTGCTGGGAATTGAAACTGGGTCCTCTGCAAGAGCAGAGCCACCTCTCTAGCCCCAAGAAATTGAATATTTTTTAACCAGGCAAGGTATTGTATAGCTATGATTCCACCACTTGGGTGGCTGCCACAAGAGGATGGAGTTTGAAGTCAATCTGTGCTACATAGAGAGACACTGTCTCTCCAAAAAAAAATTTTGCTATTATTTTTTGAGCACTGAGTCACTGTACCATAGCCCGTTTATTCAGACATCAGTGGAAGGCCTTTGAGTGCTTTCCACACAGCTTGGAAATGGTGAAGAAAGCCATGGTATTTGTGTTCAGGCTTTCTGTTCTCATATACATACATATTAACACACATATATCTATATGTTTTTGTAGTACTGTAGATTGAACCTAGGGCCTTTCTTCATGCTAGGCAGGTGCTCTACCACTAAACCCTGGGTTCCATACTCAGCACTGTATAAACTGGGTGTGGTGACACACCCATAATCCCAGCACTTGAGAGATAAAGGCAGTAGGATCAGAAGTTCAAGCTCATCTTCCATTGAAAACAGACAGACAGACAGGCAGACAGACAGACAGACAGGAAGAGGCTGGTTTGGTAGCACATAACTTTAATCCCAACACCTGGGAGGCAGAGGCAGGTGGATCTCTGCAAGTTCAAGGCCAGTCTGTCTACACAGTGAGTTCCAGGACATCCAGGGCTACATAATAAGACCTTGGAACAAGAAAAAGAAATGCAAGTCCTCAAGTCTGTGGGCAGCTCTGCTGACTTAGACCCTGCCTGTATTTTAACAAGATGCCCAAGAGGGCTAACACGTCCCCCATCTCTTGGCGACATCCCTTTCTCAATGTGCAGATGGCGCCCTCTTGTGGCGTGATGCTAATCCTGCGTCTGTTCAGTACATGCCTGATATTTACCCCTGCTTGGAAATCCAACCCAGAGCCTTTGCAAGGCAAATTCTCTACCACTTACCTACCCTCACTATTCCCAAGGTTGGGTTTGAAATTTACTGAAAGTTTGGAACAAAGGCAGTAGCGATTTATACTCTCTCACTTGCTTTTCTTGTCCTCAAACTCCTTGTACAGTATCCGAGCGCTGGGATTACAGGCATGTGCAACCACATCGGGTTTATGTGGTGCTGGGATCGAACCCAGGTCTCTTTCATGCTAAGCCATGACTCTACCAACTGATCCACATCCCCAGCCTCTATTCTCTCACTTAAAAAAAATATGGTATTGGGGCTGGAGAAATGGCTCAGCAGTCAAGAACACTGACTGCTCTTGCAGAAGACCCGGGTTCGAATCCCAGCACCCACATGGCAGCTAACAACTGTCTGTAACTCCAGTTCCAGGGGATCCAACAGCCTCTTCTGTCCTCGCAGGCATTGCACGAAAGGGATGCACTTACCTACATGCAGGCAATACACTCATACACATAAAATATATATATGGTATTAGCCAGGCATGGTGGCCCACGCCTATAGTTCCAGCACTTGGGAGGCAGAGGCGGGTGGATTTCTGCAAGTTCAAGGCCAACTTGGTCTACATAGTGAGTTCCAGAACAGCTGGGACTACAGGGAGACCTTGTTTT